CTCTAAAGCTAACTTAAATTTTCTCCAGAAAACCCATTTTTTGGGCAGACAGAAGGACAAAGTGTCCAAAAAAAATTCTGGGCGATGATCACAAACAGAATGGGACATTTAAGTAAAAAAATCATTTATGCAAGAATTTTTCAAATCTTGTATTAAATTGAATTGGTCACAAAAGAAATTACTCCAGAGATATTCAAATGGGAGTTGGAGTTGGAAAAGAGGAAAAACATCTTTCCATTTAATCAGTTGCTTGATAGAAATGGCAGCTCAGTGAAAATCTGTATGTGACTGCTAAGATAGGAATGATAACACTTACAGTCAAATCACAGTAATGCATTTATAATTATCATTTGAATGAGATTTTTTAATTTGCATAATGTATATCATATAACAAAAGCTGGTATTGATACTTAATCGTAAAAGAACAAATAATGAATGAAAATATGCCATAATGACATTAACAATAATTACAAACTATAGGTCCCAAGAAGCTGACATCTATCCATATAACTGACTGTCAGTCCTACATTAACAACTAATTTTAACAGAATTAAACTTGTATGTTTTGCAATGGCATGTGTCTCATAATATATTTATTTTGAGTGATGGTAATAACTTGATTGTGATAATGGTATCTGATAATAACAAATAATAAGGCTATTTCAATGAAATCCAAAAAACAAGATATCTTTCATGCATTTTGTTCAAGGCCAAACTGTGTTCAAAAATACCAATTGTTTTTACAGACCTTTTAGTAAATGTCTTATCATCCAGTTTTCTGACAATCTGCATTTCTATACATTTAATGGTAAGTAAATCTAAGTTGGGGGTTTGTTTAATTGTTTGTTCAGATATGGATACAAGTCATACTAGAATTGCCAGAATGACATTTTTGAACAATAGCTCTTGTTGGCTCTTGTTCTAAAATAGGAAATACAGTATCAATTATATAGGTGACTTAAATGGGTTTATAGGAATCTGTGAATCCCTAGAGATGACAGCTTTCTGGATCAGGGTTGAGGCCAATGTTATCCATGTTAAAACTAGGACTCGAGCTACTGAGCTGCTGGGATAAAAAGTTGCTTAAAAGTCTGTCAATTCACATTTCTCTACCACCAAATACAATATCAAATGGATGTTACAGGAATATTTCATATAAAAGCAAAGAAATTCAAAGACACTGACAATTCATATTAAGAAACCAAGTGAAAGCATGGACTTTGTAGACTAGTCATATGTCTTTTTTCTTCTTCAAAGAAACAACTTTTTATGCAAACTAATCACAAATATTTTCTTTCACTTCCAGCATAAATCAAAAGATTCTGATTTTCTGCAAAATAAATTTTTACTTAACTTTATTAAATTATTGATCCTTTATTGCATTAAAAACTTCATATTCTTTTCCAAATCTCTTGTCAAAGATTGTTTATTTTTGTATATTTTCATCAGTCACCAATGAAGTTTGTGCTAACCACTAATTGGGAGGCTGACCAACAATAAATGAAATACGTATTCTTGGGATAATAATTATGGATGCAGGTATGGATCACCTGACAGGAGAATAAACTAGAGGCTCCAAAGAGCCTGTGTTGCTCACCAAAGTCTATGTGTATCTTCAACCATGGACACTATCCAACATTTTAGACTAGAATATAATTTATGACTAAAATATCTTTCTTGTTGATCATCAATTGCTGATAACTTTTTCAGTTTACTTTCAGCAATGTTGACTTATTTGTACATCTTGTCTTTCAGATCATAATTTGTCTACTGTAAATTCAGAAATTATTGCGAGGTTTTTATTAATGCGAATAATGTGAGTGGTTGCTCATCGCAATAATAAGAACTCGCATTCTGATATCTGATACATACATCTGCATGCAGCTTTTCCTGTAATCGCAATAATTTATCTCGTATTTTTGTCCATTTTACAATAAAATGCTCCGCTGGGGCGCAGCTTGATACGACCGCAGAGGTCGAACCCTGAACAGTTGGGGCAAGTATGGACACAACATTCAAGCTTGATACAGCACTGAATTTGGATTGTAATTAAATATTTGACACAGCATAGGTTTCTGACACAGAATGAAAGTGGTCTAAGAACTTAAAAATTTTCAATTTACCTATTCATACATGTGATGGTCTGTGAAACTCAGATCAGGAGATTGGGAAATTTTGGTCAGGAGATTAGGACTCAGATCAGGAGGTTTTTAATCGACATTAATTTTGTTGTAAATGTAACCGTGTGCTGTAAAAATGGTCTTTTAAAGTGTGTTTTCTTCAACTTTCCAACCAATTTATTATGTTTATAGTACCCTTGTACTTATAAAGTTTCTCCATCTTTATATTCTACATGTTCAATCTAACATTGTTTTTTTTCCAGTATGTTCTTTAAATTTTTTACTTCATATTCTATAAAACAATCATTGCAACCAGAACATTTGTTTAGCTGTCTGCAACTAGTTTTTATTTTTTTTTTTTTCTCTTGCAAATAGTTTTTATTTGCAAACTCAGAAATTCATTCTATCTGTAAAGTTAGGGTCATAGTTATTACATAAATTTCAATTTAAGCCTTAAAAGGAAGTATAGAATCCTCAAATAATTTTCAAATTATTATTTTTTTATTTGTCCTAAGACATTTAAAATCATTTAATAACCATCCTTTTATGATTATTTGTTCAATTTATATTTTATTTATATTCTTTTAAAAATTTTCATTATTAAAAGGAAAGTAACTTAAAACAGGATAAATCAAGGGAAGTAACCCAATAAATACACAGTTTTTGTTACACAACGGCAGTTAGCCTGAGGTAAAAATCGTTGCTTACCAGTATGTTTGACACCCAAGCTGACAAGTGAAGCCATATAATTATGCATGTTAATTGATTTACAGGTAAAATATAACTTCAGGTAATGTCAGTTACACCAGATGCCTGAGATGTTATGTTGGGCAGAAATTTTTCATTCATGAAAAATTTCATACACGGGATTTTTTCAACGGGAGGGGGGGAGGAGACCCCTGAAAACGGGATTATACACCTTATCGCTAATCCCGCTTGACCCGAGAATCAGTCCCGCTCGAACTTTTGACGTCATACAACAATCACTTTTCCATTGTGGCGTCAGATATTTTCTATTATGACGTCAAAATTTTACGGGAACTTGTGTGATGTCAAGTAATGGCGGACAAATAGCGATAAGGTGTATTGTACTCCCGTCGGGAGGTTCACATGTATGCCTATTCAAACCATATCATTATTATTTGCTTTTATAATTAAATCAGAAATAACCAATTTAAAATGGAAAATGTTAAAGAAAAAAAAGGAAAAAAAAAATCCCCCCCCCCCGAATTTTTTGAACCCCCTTATGATTCATCGCCCCCAAACTCAATCCCAGCTTTCCCTTTGTGGTATGGTACCTTGCAGTACAATTTCAGAGAGATTCATACACTTGAACACAAGTTATTGTCTGGAACTAGAAAAATGCTTGTTTTTTGGCCCCTTTTTGGCCCCAAATTCCTAAACATTTAGGGCAATTACCCCCAAACTCAATTCCAGCTTTCCCTTTGTGATATGGAACCTTGCAGTACAATTTCATAAAGATCCATACACTTACACACAAGTTATTGTCCTGAAACTAGAAAAATGCATGTTTTTTTTGCCCTTTTATGGCCCCTAATTACTAAAATTTTGAGGGAAAACCCCCAAAATCAATCCCAGCCTTCCCTTTGTGATATGGAACCTTGTAGTACAATTTCATAAAGATCCATACACTTACAAATAAGTTATTGTCATGAAACTAGAAAAATGCTTGTTTTTTGCCCCTTTTTTGCCCCTAATTCCTAATATTTGGAGGAAATTACCCCAAAAATCAATCCCAGTATTCCCTTTGTGATATGGAACCTTGTAGTACAATTTCATAAAGATCCATACACTTACAAACAAGTTATTGTCATGAAACTAGAAAAATGCTTGTTTTTTGCCCCTTTTTGGCCCCTAATTCCTAAAATTTGGAGACAATTACCCCCAAAATCAATCCCAGCATTCCCTTTGTGATATGGAACCTTGTGGTACAATGTCAGAGAGATCCATACACTTACACACAAGTTATGTCTGGAAGTTACAAAAATGCTTATTTTTGGCCCCTTTTGGCCCCTAATTCCTTAAGTGTTAGTACCATAACCCCCAAAATCAATCCCCACCTTCCTTTTGTGGTATTGAACCTTATGGTAAAATTTCAATGAGATCCATTCACTTAAACTAAAGTTAGAGTGCGAAAACTAATGTGTATTCGGACGACGACGCCGGACGACGACGACGACGACGACGCCAACGTCATACCAATATACGACCACAAAATTTTTTTGCGGTCGTATAAAAATCACAATAATAAATGCATGCAATAATTTCTGAATTTACAGTATCTATTATAGTTTCAAAATGATGATAAATAACAGCAAAAAACTTGGTAAAAATCGTCATTACAGGCCAATAACTCCTTTAAGGAGTCAAATGAAGATTTCAGCAACATTTGACTTATTTGTAGATCTGAACTTGCTGATCAAATATGCTGTTTAAAGTTTCCATCTATCTTTTATAGTTTTCAAGATAATAGGCAAAAACGCAAAAATTCAGAGGAAAAAAAATCGTGATTAAAGGGCAATAACTCCAATTAAAGAATTGACTGATGATTGATTTTGATTTATTTGTAAATATTGTCTTGGTGATTGGTTGTAAAAGTTTCTATCTATCTATTTTAGTTTTCAAGATGATGGACAAAACTAAATGAAATTTGGAAAATTCATCATTCAAGGGCAATAACTCCTAAGAAGTTGTCTAACAGTTTTAATGTAAATATCCATAGGCAGATCTCAACATATTGATCATGTTTGCCAATGTTAGATTTTCTCTATCTAGAGTGATTTTCAAGATAATAGACAAAACTTGCATTTTACCTCTATGGTCTGTTTTTAGCCAGATTGGCCATGTTGGGTGGCAGGCTGAGTCATTGGATATAGTTTTTAAACTAAATACCCCAATGATGATTGTGGCAAATTTTGGTCAAAATTGGCCAACTAGTTTCAGAAAAGAAGATTTTTGTAAAAGTTAACGATCAAAGATGAACGTCTATTTGGGGCCAGGTGAGCTCAATAATGAATAAAATGCTTCGCTGAGCGCAGCCTGATACGGCCGCAGAGGTCGAACCCTGAACAGTTGGGGCAAATTTGGACACAATATTCAAGCTTGATACTGTCTGAATTTGGATTGTGATCAAATTTCTGACATAATCAAAATTTCTGACACAATACAAATGTGGTCAAAGATCTTACAAATCTATTGTGCAATACTGTGCAATTGAAGGTTTCTTCTTTATTCTTGAAACTTTTCCAAAATTTTGAAAAAAAAATATGAACATCTTAAAAAAGTCCCCCCCCCCCCCCAAACTTTTTGAATCCCTCCTTGGAGCAATTACCCCCACACTCAATCCCAGCCTTTCCATTGTAGTATGGAACCTTGTAGTACAATTTCAGAGAGATCCATTCACATACAAGTTTTTGTCTGGAAACTAGAAAAATGCTTGTTTTTGGCCCTTTTTTGGCCCCTTATTCCTGCATGTTTGGGGCAATTACCCCCAAACTCAACTCCAGACTTCCCTTTGTGATATGGAACATTGTGGTACAATGTCAGAGAGATCCACACACTCACACACAAGTTATTGTCCGGAAACTACAAAAATGCTTTTTTTTTTGCCCCTTTTTGGCCCTTAATTCCTAAACTGTTTGCACCATAACCCCCAAAATAAATCCTAACCTTCTACTTGTGGTATTACACATTGTGGTACAATTTCAGAGCAATCAAAATACTTATACACAAGTTATTATCCTGAAACTAGAAAAATGCTTGTTTTGGGCCCCTTTTGGGCCCCTTATTCCTAAACGGTTGGGACCATCACCCCCAAAATCAATCCCAAACCTTCCTTTTGTGGTATTGAACATTCTTAAAAAATTTCATAGAGATCCATTCACTTAAACTAAAGTTATTGTCGGGAAACCAAATGTGTCTTCGGACGACGACGTAGACGACGACGACATCATACGATCCCAAAAAATTTGTTGCGGTCGTATAAAAATACACATACCCATATATTGCATAATTCAGGGGTCATAACTTCACAATTTATAATGTGAGATGCCAAAAGAAGTTATTTTGTATTACAAGTTATAACAAAGCTATATCTATGTAAAATTTATAGTATTTTGGCAAGATTGAAAAAAAAAATGTTATTGTCAATTTTAACCCTTTGTGAACCTACACATTTGATTTGAATGAAAAATATATTATTATTACAGGTGTGTCATGTTTGTTCTATAGGACAAAATATTATAAGTAACATTAAAAGTATAAGTTACATACTTGAAAAGTACAAGTAATCAACAAATTTCAGAACACACAACATTTTAAATTACATACTATGATTATGTAAAACATAAAAAAATATAAGCAAAACAAATGACAATGAGATATTTGTTATTTTCTCATGTTCATCTATCCTTATCATTTAAAAAAAAATTTGACCAAAAAAAACCATGGCAAAATAGACACATTTATTGAAATCATGGAAGTATGTGATGATTTTTAACCGGAGCATCATATAAAATGTCTAAAGAAATACTGCAAAGGCTAAATAATTAACTACAATGAAACATTGCATACACATTGGATGTCATAGCCTTGCTTCTGAATAATGTCCCACAATTTTTCTTCAATCTCAAATCATCAAACATTTTCTTTAATAAAATTTCTACTCCTCTAATGCTTTTTACATCTCTTCGAAAATGTCAAAATATTGACAGGGTAAAAACTAAATTCACATAGGTGGATCCAGGGGGGGCTCTGGCCCCCCCTTTGGTGAGGAAAATTTGGTTGATTATATAGGGAATCACTGAAGCATGACAGGAGCCCCCCCCCCAACCCTTAGGTCAGTCAGCGGGCCCCCCTTATGAAAAGTTCTGGATCCGCCACTGATTCACCATATGGAACAATATATGCATGCAACTGCAGATGATATTTGTACTTGTTAAAGATTATTCTTGCAGACAAATTCATCTTCTGAAACTAGAACTGAAATGATTATGATATTCATACAGATTTCACTGTTAAAGAAATGATTATCTGAAACAATGTGTTTTAAATATGATTAAATTGTTTCTTTATCTAAATAAATGAAATCAACAAAAAATTATTAAATTGAGGTTTTCAACCAATAGAAAGAAATTTAGAAACCTCCTTGAACTATAATCATAAAAGGGGTTCATGAGTAAGAGAAAATAAATTGTAATCAATCATAGCCTAATGACCACCACATTGGGAAATGTGTATAGGCCATTAAATGATAGAATTGTTGTTAAATGATAACATGAAAATATTCTTAAATGAAATATCAATCTTGTTTTTGGCTGCAGCAATCTCATTAAATAATAAATCTATTGAATGGACACTAGAAGACATAAATACAAATGTCTATTAACCCCTATCTTCACTTTCCTTGGCATGGTCATTATAAACATTGTCATGATAGTAACTCTTATAATACTGATGTAAAGTCTATAAACAATCTATGTTGTCATCAACAAATTAATCAAATAATTTAACATAAAATATCAAAGACAGCATGAGTCAACAAGTACAAATAGTATTTTAGCACTAATGGGATCTGTAAGTTGTACAAATGATTTAGATAACAAGTCTTAACAAACTTTACAATTTGTTTAGAATGAACACATAATGTACATGTGTGAACAAAAAATTGTAATGTGTCTTCATCACATGTTTTTTAACAACAAACAATGGCTGCATAAACACACATACACACTTAGACGCAAATTTAACAAAATGGAAGCTAATAAGTAAGGCACCAATAATCACAGATAAAATCTAACTAAAACCATCATCAACAGCTCACTAAATCATTTGAATTTGTTGTTCCTACACTCATAAATTCTAAAGATGGCTGGAAGTCTGAAAAGAAAATATTAATATCAAAATATGTTTGTATAAATTAAAAAAAAATCTGCCCAAAAATGGAGAACGTATGATAAAAGCCACTTTTTTTGTCTTTCTGTGTGAAGTGTAATATGAGTTCTTAACTAAAACTGGTAGATAGCTTTTAGAGATTAATGATAATGATTATTCAATCATCAAAATAGTTGTCTGTAAGATGCAGGTATTGTAATATTAGGATGTTAATCATATAATAAAGGTGTAATATTTGCTCAGCTGGGATTACATTTTGTCCTGTTATCAATTATTTTTTCTTGTTTTTTTGCATTAATCACTGTTGGTTTAACAGTTTCACGGCTCAATGGAAGTTATGTCATATAAACATAAAGGTACTGTTATTAATTTGGGCGATGTTAATTCCAGAGTTTTTACAGGCTGTAAACTACATTTGTATTCACAAGTACAGTCAAACCTGCCTTAACAGTCACCTTATTTCAGCGGTCACCTGTCTCTTAATCATCAATTTCAGACCCTCCCAAACGTTTCCCTATATGATTTAACTCATTCCAGCGTTTACCTAATTTTTGCACGAAATCGTCATTTTAACTTTTAACAATGATTATTTTCATGTTTTTAACTACCAATATAATCTTGACAAAAACATCATCGAAATCAAAATGAGAATCGGAACACTTTTGCAATCAAATCACCCAATAAGAGGGGAATTCATGAATTACTCATGTTCTTCTCCTTTCAGTTTCCATTGAAAACAATATCACCGACTTATTTCTCCACAATTATTAACATATTTTGAAAGTCTTTTTCCAATTTTCAACGCTGGAATCCACCATTTTGTTTACTGTTCCAAGAACAATAACTCTACCAATTGAAAACAATAAAACAATTTGCCCAGATCATGACCGCAGGCCATGTCGGAATGTGAATTTTTCAAAACCTCTTTTAAAAGGTCACCTCTCTTGAGCAGAGTGGTCACTTTTAATACTTCCCATGAGTGACTAATGAGTACAGGTATGACTGTATGCATTATCATGAAAGAAAAAAACCTGAAATATGTGAATGCAAATACACTGTGATAATAAACTGTTTCGCTACTCGCAGCTGGATATGCCCGCAGAGGTCCAACCCTGAACAGTTGGGGCAAAAATGGACACAATATTCAAGCTTGATACAGGTCTGAATTTGGATTGTAATTAAATATTTGATATATTATAGGTTTCTGAATAAATGTAGTCAAAGAACTTGAAATTGGATATATGAAAGATTTCTTGCTGTTGTGCAATACACTATGCTGTTTCGCAATACTTAGTAAATCTGTTGTTAGACTATAAACAAATAAAATCTTATAACTCGGAAATGTAAAATTGAAAATTTATAAAAATCAAAAGGGAGCTTACAAAAATAGATATAAACAATTTACCAAAGTTTCATAAAAAAATGCTGAAAGCATTTTTGAGTTATTGTCCGAAAACAGGAAAATCCCCCTTATTGTAATGAATAAAACCCCATAAATCGGAAACGTATAGTCTGAAATTTATAAAAATCAAAAGGAGCTCATGTTGATAGAAATAAACAATTCACCAAATTTTCTTGCAAATTGGTGAAATTGTTTTTGAGTTATTGTCTGAAAACTGGAAAATCCCCCCTTTTTTAATGAATAAAAACCCCAAAACTCGGAAACGGTAAATCTGAAACTTATAAAAAACAAAAGGGAGCTCATGTCAATAGATATGAACAATTCACAAAAGTTTCATGCAAATTGGTGAAATTTTTTTTGAGTTATTGTCCAAAAACTGGAAAATCCCCCCTTTTTTAAGAAATAAAACCCCAAAACTCAGAAACGGTAAATCTGAAATTTATAAAAAATGAAAGGGAGCTCACATCAATAGATATGAACAATTCACAAAAGTTTCATGCAAATTGGTGAAATTGTTTTTGAGTTATTGTCCGAAAACTGGAAAATCCCCCCTTTTTTAATGAATAAAACCCCAAAACTCAAAAATGGTAAATCTGAAATTTATAAAAAAACGAAAGGGAGCTCACGTCAATAGATATAAACAATTCACCAAAGTTTCATTCATATTGGTTAAAGCATTTTTGAATTAATGTCTGACATGTTGATGACGGACGGACGGACAGACGGTCAACGGTATACCATAATACGTCCCGTAAACGGGCGTATAAAAAGGAAAATGTCATGTAAAGGATATCTAGACCAGAGTTAAAAAAAATGAAACTGTCCTACATTTCTGCATTTGAAACATAAGGCATTCAAACAAATTAAGGTAACCATTCAGGGATCAAGAGTATACCGTATATCAGGTTTTTTTGCGATTTGATGATAAAATGGTCAGGTTAAATCTTCACTGTGTATAACTTTCGCTGAATGGGAAAATACACATGAAAAAATCACTGTACATGTATATGGTAATGTCAGAGATGTAAACAACATAAACTTTATTAATTGACAGATAATCGATTAAAGATAAATGACAATACTACAATCTAAAATACACATAATTCAAAGAACTTTCAAGGAAAGTAAATTATTTACATTGCGGCATGCTAAAATTGATGGTGTATTAGAACATTTTTCAAGCATATTTGTGCAAATATCTGTGTAAGTATGATTTATTTTTAATTTAATTTTTACATTATATGCAAAATGTTGGGGTAATCACAACAATAAATAGATCGTCGCTAATTAATATTTTTGAACATGTCACTGATTGCTGTGTTGAAAAGTATGATTAGCCAATTTAGTTATTATGAAAGCAGACTTTTCAATTAAATATGCACATTCTTGTGATCTGTCGGTTAAAACAAAAGACTAATTTAATGTATAAAGTCATTTCATCTTAAGGGTGAAAACAGTTTACATATAAATTTTATGTAAACTGTATAATTTACAGTATAATGTATGCAAAGTTTAAACAGAGAGAAAACTTGGAATATGCAGGGAAATTACACGGGGCCAAATTTTCGCATTTCTTTAGCTGCCAAGAACAAAGCAAAAATTAAACACACGCGAAAAAAACCTGATTTACAGTATCCTACATGAACTGATCACTATATTTGTATCACCATCATGTATATCATACCTAGTTTGATCACTATACTTGTATCACCATCATGTATATCATACCTGGATTGATCACTATATTTGTATCACCATCATGTATATCATACCTGGATTGATCACTAAATTTGTATCACCATTATGTATATCATACCTGGATTGATCACTATATTTGTATAACCATCATGTATATCATACCTGGATTGATCACTTTATTTGTATCACCATTATGTATATCATACCTGGATTGATCACTATATTTGTATCACCATCATGAATATCATACCTGGATTGATCACTATATTTGTATCACCATCATGTATATCATACCTGGATTGATCACTATATTTGTATCACCATTATGTATATCATACCTGGATTGATCACTATATTTGTATCACCATCATGTATATCATACCTGGATTGATCACTATATTTGTATCACCATTATGTATATCATACCTGGATTGATCACTATATTTGTATCACCATCATGTATATCATACCTGGATTGACCACTATATTTGTATCACCATTATGTATATCATACCTGGATTGATCACTATATTTGTATCACCATCATGAATATCATACCTGGATTGATCACTATATTTGTATCACCATCATGTATATCATAATCTTCTACTGTTAAATCTTCATCACTTTCTGCACATGATGTATCCAAACGATTTCTATTCAATATTAGTGAATACTGCTGTCCAGTTTTGGATTTCCTAAAAAGCAGTTTCTTTTGTTATTCATGTTTGGTTAATGTTTCAAATTTATGTGGCATGAATATGTGTCCATAGGACATCACACCCTAACATTGCACTATAACATTTCTTTTATTTGGCATATAATTGTAAAATTTCACACCATAATCAAAATCTGTACTAAGTTTCAAGATGATGTGACCATAACTTCATGGTAAACTATCTTAACTAAAAAACGTACTATCAAATTTCAATGTTCACTGAAATGTGAAATCAGTATCAAAACTCTTACTACGCATAAAATTTTAAAAGTTCACATCATGAAAATGAGTATTCAGTTAATCTGTTGACACAGATATCAACTCTTATTCTTAAGAGATCTGAAATTAAAGACTACTTTTTTTAAAGCACTTCATCTTTAAGCATGTTTGCTACTCTGTTTCAAAATAACAAGCTTTTCAAAAGACTGTTCTAAAATGATAGTATATAAATAAAAGAACTAAATAAATGTGGATAGTGTCCACATGTGGACACAGATGATGCCCCCGCTTGCATATCATATAGTTATAAAGGGACATAACTGAAGAACGGTAAAAGTGACGCTACCCAAATTTGAACTTGATCTGAGTTTTGTGGTAATAAGCATTGTGTGTAAGTCTCATAACATTTGGTTGAGGCTAACTGAAGTAGAGAACAGAAACTAAAAATTCGGCAATTTTTCTATTTGTAAAAAGGCATAACTCTAGAACGGTTGTGTATCAGTTTTACAACATTTGGTTGAGACAAACTAAAAAATTCAGCAATTTTTATGTTTATAATGGGACATAACTCTAGAATGGTAAAAGTGTTGCCACCTAATTTCGTACTTAATCTGTATTATGTAGTAATTAGCATTGTGTATAAGTTTCATAACATTTGGTTGAGGCAAACTCAAGTTAGAGAACTGAAACAAAAAAAATGTACTTGATCTTTACTGAGTTTTGTTGGAATGAATATTGTGTATAGGTTTCACAATGTTTGGCTGGGGAAAACTTCAGTTACAGAATGGAAACTAAAAAATTTTGCAATCTTTCTATTTATAAAGGGGCATAACTCAATAATGGTTTAAGTGACACTACCCAAATTCAACTTGATCTGTGTTTTATCAGTGGTAGTCAAAATTAAACATTGCATTGTATAAAGCATTGATTGTAGTTGATTCAACTATAATCATGGTCAAAGGAAGATAACTCCAATTTTAAAAATATATTATATAAACTTGATATTTAGAAGAAAATAAAAATTTTGCAATTTTTCCTTTTATAAAGGGGCATAACTCTAGATCGGTTAAAGTGACACCACCAATATTCAAACTTGATCTGTGTTTTGTGGTAATAAGCATTGTGTATAAGTTTCATAACATTTAATTGAGGCAAACTTAAGTTAGAGAACGGAAACTAAAAATTTTGCAATATTTCCTTTTATAAAGGGGCATAACTCTAGATCGGTTAAAGTGACGCCACCAAAATTCAAACTTGATCTGTGTTTTGTGGTAATAAGCATTGTGTATAAGTTTCATAACATTTGGTTGAGGCAAACTCAAGTTAGAGAATGGAAACCAATTTCGGGACGTACGGACGGACGTACGTACGTACAGACGGACAAGGGTAAAACTTAATGCCCCCTCCGGTACGACGGGGGCATAAAAAGCTGAAAAAAATGAAGGGTCGGTGTGCTTGTTTTCGAGATATAAGCCATTGAAAATTTGGCGGGAAATGATTCTCTCTAGATTTTTCATACTTTTAACATTGGACGCTTTTTTGTTTCAAAAACTATGAAAAAATAACAAGGATTTTATAAGATTTTCAAATATGGCTTTTTCAACTATATGTAATAAAATTATGAAAAGAAAAGTAGGGGTTAGTGGGCAAAATTTTTGAATAGCAATACATGGATAAAACCAGAGGATTCCGAAAATCTGGCAAAAATTCAAAAACAAGAGGAGCAAACATCCTTAACTGAATCATAAAAAAATTAACTTTTTTTTTTATCTAAACAATCATTTTATTAGATGTCTATTTTTATCTGCTTATGTTGTTGGTATGCTGATCAATGATGTTTATGCAACATCTATTTTATGTACCTTTTAAATCGTTTAATAAAACAGCCTACTATTACTACCAGTACAAAGACTACAATAGTCAAAGGTACAGCTATCAATATGGGTGATGTTTGTCGACTGTGTTCATGTGGCTGTACACTTATTGAAGTGGTAGTTTCAGGTAACTTTGGTAAACTGCTGTCATCATCTTAAAATATACAAATGAAATGACAATCGTTAACAAATTCCTCAATATAGAAATACATAGCAAATGAATCCCATTAAAATAATAGAATGTTTATAAACTTAATAGACTGATGGTTAAACATAAACTTTGTAAAACCAAATGCGAAGGAACAGCACATTTATTATTTTTTGTTAGATTGTATGTTGTGTCTGTATGTAAAAGTGCATGCCACCTGATTTTTAATAGAAATCTGAATCTTAAAGCTGGATTCATTTATTGTTTATAAACAAGTTGAAACTTCTTTTTTATATTTATTGTCTCAGAATTAAAAGATGCAGGGTTAATTCCTCAGTCATTTTGGAGGAAAATGAAAAATTTTTGAGATGTAATTTTCCCAACAACTGTAATTATTATTCAATCCATTTATGTACCATTATTATGGATTGTTCAATAAAATTAAATTAATTTCAATATCAATTAGAAACAAGCATTCTGAGAGTATTGCATGGCAATACATAGTCCCCTACTGGTTAAAAATTAATTGTACTGGAACAAAATGCTAACTTGATCTATAACTTGTCATGGTGTAAACTATATAACAAATATCAAGTCAATATCTTCAAGCATGACGAAAAAAAGTGCGGAAAACTGATAATTTAAGTGAATTTTCTAAGTCCAAGGACCATAACTCTGCATAAAATCATCAAACCGAAACAAAATTCAAACTTGGTCTGTAACTTGTCATGATAAAACTATATACCAATTATCAAATCAATATCTTCAAGCATGACGAAAAAAAGTGCGGAAAACTGATTATTTGAGTTAATTTTCTAAGTCCAAGGACCATAACTCTGCACAAAATCATCAGACCAGAACAAAATTCTAACTTGATCTGTAACTTGTCATGATAAAACAATGTACCAATTATTAAATCAATATCTTCAAGAATGACGAAAAAAGTGCGGAAAGCTGAATATTTGAGTGAATTTTCCAAGTCCAAGGACCATAACTCTGCACAATATTATCAGACCGGAACAAAATTCAATCTTGATCTGTAACTTGTTATGATAAAACAATATACCAAATATCAAATCAATATCTTCAAGCATGAAGAAAAAAAGTGTGGAAAACTGATTTGCCGGACTGACAGAAGGACAGACAGACGTACAGACAGACGGACGGAGTGCAAACCTTAAGTCCCCTTCGACTTCGTCAGTAGGGGACTAATAAAGACATACTTTGAATAACAACACAAGAATATATTAGCTGCACTTGTTTACTCAGATTTCCACGTAATCAAGTTTTCAAGTGTCTGGAAAAATCAGTATCAACACACATTAGTTTGTTTTACTTCTCAGATTAATGATGTACATTACTGCATTAAAAAATATTGTTTTCAATTTTTTCTTTTTATAATTTATCTATAAAACATGGGATATTTAACCTAGCAGAAAAATAATCTACTTCAAAAATTTGGTATGATGACCTGTTGACCCTGGTCAGTGACCATTATGGCATCTAAGTGACAGCAAAAAACCAGAAATTACCTTTAAAAATACCTGTTAGCACTTCTATATCGGTAACTGTAATAGGGTCTTCATTTGGCATCCATTTAAATGACATCTGTCCTGTCTGTAACTTATCCTGTAACTCAAATACAATCTGAAAGACAATGTTTACTCATGGTATTATTCTAGGCATACAGATATAATAAATTGAGGGAAAACATGTTATGTCAAGCAAGGATACCAAACTAGTTCTATTTTTAACAAGCAACAAATAATGTAAATTCAGAAATTTTGTTAAATGTTTTTATTATAAAGATAAATGGGGAATGTGTCCCCCTCTTGCATATCATATAAAGTTATAAAGGGACATAACTGAAGAACAGTAAAAGTGACACTACCCAAATTTGTACTTGATCTGAGTTTTGCGGTAATAAGTATTGTGTATAAGTCTCATAACATTTGGTTGAGACTAACTTAAGTTAGAGAACAGAAACGAAAAATTCAGCAATTTTTCCATTTGTAAAGGAGCATAATTCTAGAACGCTTATAGTGATGCAACCAAAATTCAAATTTTATCTGCATTTTGTAGTAATAAGCATTGTGTATAAGTTTCATAACATTTGGTGGAGGCAAATCAAAGTTAGAGAACGGAAACGAAAAATTCAGCAATTTTTATGTTTATAAAGGAGCATAACTCAAGAACGGTAAAAGTGCCGCCACCCAATTTCGAACTTGATCTGTATTATGTGGTAATAAGAATTGTGTATAAGTTTCATAACATTTGGTTGAGGCAAACTAAAGTTAGAAAACAGAAACGAAAAATTCAGCAACTTTTCTATTGGTAAAGTGGCATAACTTTAGAATGGTTATAGTGATGCCACCAAAATTCAAACTTGATCTGTGTTTTGTGGTAATAAGCATTGTGTATAAGTTTCATAACATTTAGTTGAGGCAAACTAAAGTTAGAGAAAGGAAACCAACTTTGGGAAGTTTGGACAGCATTTCCTAAAATCGTTATAATTAAACTCTCATTTTAGTCCATTTATCAACCATGGCAATAATAAATGCACACAAAAATTTCTGAATGTCTAGTAAATAAAAATAATTTTACTTGCTTTACATGTCTAGTTTTAAACTTATAACACACTTTCATCTTACTTCAGAAATTTGAACCAGGCAATGACTGTATAATCCGTCCAATAGTGAAGACATTTCAAAACACAAGTAATATCAAACCAAGAAATAAAGAAGTTACCTGATTTATAGTAATTCCAGCAGTATAAGATGGAAGAATGGTAACATCAGCCTTTGTTGGTTTTTGGTTTGGTATATAAACATTGAGTCTGCTTCTGTCGACATATAGTATCTGGAATAACATTTGAATCAATTAAACACAATTAAATACAACACTAAAAATATGACATATTAAAGCAATGCCTTAATGCTGGTGGAGTGGAACTAAATTTGATATCACCTTTACATCCATGAAGTGTAATTGTTCTAAATTTTGACTACAAACTGTGTATTTGTCTGGAGAATTTGCACTTTTTTTTCGTGGTTTTTGTTTTATCTTTATATCATTTTTGTTTTGTTTCTCTTATTGTTAATTGATGTCCATTTCATCATGCACCTTGTCTTTCATTTTCATTGACATGGCTATGACTACAACTTGCTAAGATACATTCTAAAATTCATAATAAATTGCTTTGCCGGAGGCAGCTGGATATGACCGCAGAGGTCCAACCCTGAACAGTTGGGGCAAAAATGGACACAATATTCGCACTTGATACAGGTCTAATTTGGATTGTAATTAAATATTTGACACATTATAGGTTTCTGACACAGAATAACTGTAGTCAAAGAACTTAGAATTGGTTATATGATTTGAATTTTTTTTTTTTAATTTTTTTTGCTTTTTTGTCCATTAACCAGGAAACCCTTGTTTCCCCCCTTTTTTCCCCCTAATTCCTAAAAGGTTTGAGCCACAACCCCCCCCCCCCCCAAAAAAAAGCCAATCCTAACCATCCCTTTGTGGTATGGAAACTTGTGGTATAATTTCAGAGAGATCCATACACCTAAACACAAGTTATGTCTGGAAGTTACAAAAATGCTTATTTTTGGCCCCTTTTTGGCCCCTAATTCCTTAACTGTTGGTACCATAACCCCCAAAATCAATCCCAACCTTCCTTTTGTGGTATTGAACCTTATGGTAATAGAGATCCATTCACTTAAACTAAAGTTATTGTGCGAAAACCAATGTGTCTTCGGACGACGACGCCAAACTTCATACCAATATACGACCACAAAAATATTTTGCGGTTGTATAAAAAAAATATTTAAGAATCTGTTTTGAAAAATCATTTAGGTTATAAACATTGAACTTATCATTAGCACTTTTAAAGGAAATTTTGTAAATGTAATCTTGACCATCCCTCTTAAAAAAAAACAATAATGTCTTGTCAGTCAAATTATTGAAAACCCTTAGTACTATACCAAATAATTACATAAATCCCATGCTCTGAACAAAGCTTATATCAAATCAAAAGGCTAGCACAACAAAATTTCCATTATAACATGAAATACTGTGAAGCATATGAAGCACAATATGTTTATATTTTTGAATGCAAAAAAAAGAAATGATTCATTTTTATTAAATATTCATGATTTAAAAAAAAAACATCATTTCTTGTTGTATATTTATCTTATTTTCAAAAAATTCATTAGTGATTTCTTCATAAAATTTGGAAAAAATATTCTTCATACATAATCAAGCCAAATGTAATTAAAAAATAAATGTGGATAGTGTCCACATGTGGACACAGATGATGCCCTTGCATGCATAGCATATAGTTATAAAGGGACATAACTGAAGAACGGTAAAAGTGATACTACCCAAATTTGAACTTGATCTGAGTTTTGTGGTAATAAGCATTGTGTGTAAGTCTCATAACATTTGGTTGAGGCTAACTTAAGTAGAGAATAGAAACTAAAAATTCAGCAATTTTTCTATTTGTAAACACGCATAACTCTAGAATGGTTGTGTAAAAGTTTTATAACATTTGGTTGAGACAAACTAAAGTTAGAGAACGGAAACAAAAAATTCAGCAATTTTTATGTTTATAAAGGGACATAACTCAAGAATGGTAAAAGTGTTCTCACCAAATTTCGTATTTAATCTGTATTATGTAGTAATAAGCATTGTGTATAAGTTTCATAACATTTGGTTGAGGCAAACTGAAGTTAGAAAACGGAAACAAATAAACTGCTTCGCTGAGCGCAGCTAGATACGCCCGCAGAGGTCCAACCCTGAACAGTTGGGGCAAAAATGGACACAATATTCAAGCTTGATTCAGGTCTGAATTTGGATTGTAATTAAATATTTGACATATTATAGGTTTCTGAATAAATGTAGTCAAACAACTTGAAATTGGTTATAAAAGATTTCTTGCTGTTGTGCAATACTTAGTAAATCTGTTGTCAGACTACAAACAAATAAAGTTCAATTAATTCTCAATGTCATATTAGAAATTTATGAAAATAAAAAGGGAGCTTACATCAATAGATATAAACAATTCACCAAAGTTTCATGAGAATTGGTGACAGCATTTTTGAGTTATTGTCCGAAAACTGGAAAATCACCCCTTTTTTAATGAATAAAACCCCATAACTCAGAAATGTAATATGTAAAATTTATAAAATTCTAAAGGGAGCTTACATCAATACATACAAACAATTCACCAAAGTTTCATAAGAATTGCTGAAAGCATTTTTGAGTTTTTGTCCGAAAATTGGAAAATCCCCCTTTTTTATGAATAAAACCCTGTAAATCGGAAACGTAAAATCTAAAATTTATAATAATCGAAAGGGAGCTCATGTTAATAGATATAAACAATTCACCACAATTTCTTGCAAGTTGGTGAAAGCATTCTTGACTTATTGTCCGAAAACTGGAAAATCCCCCTTTTTTTAAAGAATAAAACCCCACAACTTGGAAACGTAATATCTAAATTTAAAAAAAAACGAAAGGGAGCTTACGTCAATAGATATAAACAATTCACCAAAGTTTCATGCAAATTGGTTAAAGCATTTTTGAGTTAATGTCCGACATGTTGACGACGGACAGACGGACAACGGTATACCATAATACGTCCTGTAAACGGGCGTATAAAAATTTGTACTTGATCTTAGTTTTGTGGTTATGAATATTGTGTATAGGTTTCATAATGTTTGGTTGGGGCAAACTTAAGTTACAGAATGGAAACTATAAATTTTGCAATCTTTCGATTTATAAAGGGGCATAACTCAATAATGGTTCAAGTGACACTACCCGAATTCAACTTGATCTGTGTTTTATCAGTGGAAGTCAAAATTAAACATTGCATTGTATAAAGCATTGATTGTAGTTGATTTAACTATAATCATGGACAAAGGAAGATAACTCCAATTTTAATAAAATGCTCCGCTGGGCGCAGCTTGATTACGACCGCTAAGGTCGAACCCTGAACAGTTGGGGCAAGTATGGACACAACATTCAAGCTTGATACAGCACTGAATTTGGATTGTGATTAAATATTTGACACAGCATAGGTTTCTGTCACAGAATGAATGTGGTCTAAGAGCTTAAAATTTTTTAAATTACCTATTCAAACCATATCATTATTATTTGCTTTTATATATAAATCAGAAATAACCAATTTAAAATGGAAAATTTTAAAGAAAAACAGGAAAAAAAAATCCCCCCCCCCCCCCCCAATTTGTTGAACCCCCTTATGATTCATCACCCCCAAACTCAATCCCAGCCTTCCCTTTGTGGTATGGTACCTTGCAGTACAATTTCAGAGAGATCCATACACTTGAACACAAGTTATTGTCTGGAAACTAGAAAAATGCTTGTTTTTAGGCCCCTTTTTGGCCCCAAATTGCTTAACGTTTAGGGCAATTACCCCCAAACTCAAACCCAGCTTTCCCTTTGTGATATGGAACCTTGTAGTACAATTTCATAAAGATCCATACACTTACACACAAGTTATTGTCATGCAACTAGAAAAATGCTTGTTTTTTTCCCCTTTTTGGCCCCTAATTCCTAAAATTTTGAGGCAATTACCCCCAAAATCAAACCCAGCCTTCCCTTTGTGGTATGGTACCTTGCAGTACAATTTCAGAGAACCTTAAGGTGACTTATAAATATTGATGTAATAATACTTACCTCTGCTAAATTCATACACACAATATTAGCAAATGATATTCTCCATAATAAAGACTGTGTGTTGAAATGATCTATATTACTTGAAAACATGAGTCTCAGTGTAGTCAAATTTTCTGAAAAAAAAGCAAAAAAGTATTTAAAAATAAAAATAAAACACAGTAACACCTGTATTACCACACCACTCAAGAGAGCAGACAAGAGTGGTCTCTTAATAGAGGTTGTTATTAATATATGTTTGTATATTTCACTAGAAAGAACCATTCAGGAATATATTTTTTCACATATACTAATGTTTTTGAACTATATGTACTAAGATGGTTTTAAGTGCAGCTACCCCGTTATACGTATTATATATAAACAAAATTGCATTATTTTTTTGTATTCTAGAAATAAAATATTTTTCCTTGCTTGTAGTAACATGTTTTTATTTTTAAAACAAGGCTGCTTAAGTCTTCCAATAGTTTATTGTTCAATTTTTTTCACCCGTTAAACTTTCAGACAGTGCAGGAGTAGTCTGGTCTGCACAATTTTCTCACTTTTTGTAAAATATTCTTGTGTAGAGTCTAACCTTATCCATATAAAAAAATATCCCAGTATTCATACCCATTACAAATCCTTCCCGTTTTGAACTATGTTTTTATAAACATTGCCTATTTCTCTCGACATTGTACCTTGAACAATATTGCTTTCATTTCATTATTTTTTTCTCCCATGCAATTTTTTATTGATTTCAAATAAATTGGTAACTTTCAGGCATTTATTGTCTTGCATATTTTAATAAATTTAATTTGTTCAACTATTATCAACAGTTTCTGTTGTGAAGCCTTATTTAAATAAATTATTGCACTAAAAACAATTGTTGTCTGCTCTATGGTCGGGTTGTTGTCTCTTTGACACATTCTCCATTTCCATTCTCAATTTTATTTCGAAAATAAAAATAATAAATAATTAATGATCTTGGTCTGGGAAAAGTCTTCCTGGCTGTTTAACTTTGTGCTATTTATATCATATCACTTACTATGAACCTGCAGCATATAATGTTGTACAACAGAACTAACAGAATTGACAGCCTCCACAGACAAATTATATTTTCCAACTGTAGTATAATTATGTGACATAGCATTACTCCATGTCAATAGAGACTTACTTCCATTAGGCTTGAACTGAAACACAAATATATGTATATAATATAAAGTCCTTAGACTCTTAGACATCATAGACTTTGGCAAAGACACCAGTTTAAATAAAGCATGACTCACTCTCTTCTTTAAAAGAGGATATATACGGTAGATGTCAATATTTCAGAATTGGCATATCAAACGAAATAAAATGCTCCGCTGGGGCGCAGCTTGATACGACCGCAGAGGTCGAACCCTGAACAGTTGGGGCAAGTATGGACACAACATTCAAGCTTGATACAGAACTGAATTTGGATTGTAATTAAATATTTGACACAGCATAGGTTTCTGACACAGAATGAATGTGGTCTAAGAACTTAAAAAATTTTAATTTACCTATTCAAACCATATCATTATTATTTGCTTTTATATATAAATCAGAAATAACCAATTTAAAATGAAAAATTTTAAAGAAAAAAAAGGAAAAAAAAATCCCACCCACCAAATTTTTTGAACCCTCTTATGATTCATCACCCCCAAACTCAATCCCAGCCTTCCCTTTGTGGTATGGTACCTTGCAGTACAATTTCAGAGAGATCCATACACTTGAACACAAGTAATTGTCTGGAAACAATGCTTGTTTTTTTCCCCCTTTTTGGCCCCAAATTCCTAAACGTTTAGGGCAATTACCCCAAAACTCAAACCCAGCTTTCCCTTTGTGATATGGAACCTTGCAGTACAATTTAATAAAGATCAATACACTTACACACAAGTTATTGTCCTGAAACTAGAAAAATGCTTGTTTTTTTGCCCTTTTATGGCCCCTAATTCCTAAAATTTTGAGGCAATTACCCCAAAAATCAATCCCAGCCTTCCCTTTATGGTATGGTACCTTGCAGTACAATTTCAGAGAGATCCATACACTTGAACACAAGTTATTGTCTGGAAACTAGAAAAATGATTATTTTTGGCCCCTTTTTGGCCCCTTATTCCTAAACTTTTTGAGATTACCCAAACTCAATTCCAGCTTTCCCTTTGTAATATGGAACCTTGTAGTACAATTTCATAAAGATCCATACACTTACACACAAGTTATTGTCATGAAGTAGAAAAATGCTAAATGCTAAATTTGGAAGCAATTACCCCCAAAATCAATAGCAGCATTCCCTTTGTGATATGGAACCTTGTGATACAATGTCAGAGAGATCCATACACTTACACACAAGTTATTGTCATGAAACTAGAAAAAGGCTTGTTTTTTGCCCCTTTTTTGGCCCCTAATTCCTAAAATTTGGAGGCAATTACCCCCAAAATCAATCCCAGCATTCCCTTTGTGATATGGAACCTTGTGGTACAATGTCAGAGAGATCCATACACTTACACACAAGTTATGTCTGGAAGTTACAAAAATGCTTATTTTTGGCCCCTTTTTAGCCCCTAATTCCTTAACGGTGGTACCATAACCCCCAAAATCAATCCCCACCTTCCTTTTGTGGTATTGAACCTTATGGTAAAATTTCATAGAGATCCATTCACTTAAACTAAAGTTAGAGTGCGAAAACTAATGTGTCTTCGGACGACGACGACGACGACGACGTCATACCAATATACGACCACAAAATTTTTTTTGCGGTCGTATAAAAACAAGCAAGAATTTTTAAAATTGCCTTAGACAATATCAGTATTTCAGTTTTGCAATGTAGTATTAAAAGATTTGCAAAACTGTAATACTGCAAATTGTGACTGGTAAAGCCACACCAATTTGATTCCTAGTTCTTTGGATTTTCCTGCTCCTGTTTTGGAGAAATCGACTTTTCAATAAAAAAAAATAACCACTTCCGCAAATTTTTGGTCTGAATGCCACTCCAAAATTAATTTCTCCTTGAAATTTTTTTTCTCACATAAATGCCTTTTATTTTGCATATAATGCTCCAATCCTTACAAACGCACATGTGATAAATCGATTTGTAAACATAAAAGCCAACATGCAATTGTGTCAGCTCATTGCCGTGGACAAGTAGTTCTTGAACACACAGTTATCAGATATCCTTCTCGTTTTACCTTTGAAGGACTGTTCTAGGATGCAAAAATTAAAAAATGGGATCTACATGTAAAGAAATATTACTATCTTGCTCAGCATGTTGTTTTAGTACAAAGCAAGATATATTTACCTCGCTCACTATTTTGATCCTGAATATGGATGAATAGTTCCAACTAGATGTCAAGCAGCCAATTAACAATCATTACCATATAATGAAAACAACTTCTATTAAATATCTTTCAGGGGCATTTGTTTCTATACATACACATATTTTAATTTTATTCAACATGTGTCATTTACCTAAGTAACATAATTCCTCTTATAAAACCCTTGAATATCTTTCATTAAACCTTCTCTTAAAGAAGAGTACCATGAACAGATATGCGTGATAAACATGTTTTATTAGATAAAAAATGGAGATTGCAGTGGTTGCTATGCTTCCTAAATATATATTTTGAATAAAATGAATATTCACACAGACAAAGCTTACTTGAAGAAAATAACAAAAATTAACTAAACCACAGTGAGACAAGAAAGTCTGGTATGGTACAGGCACCAATAAATCAAACTTTATGCATTGGACAACAGACGCTCCAATGCATAAAGTTTGATTTATTGGTGCCTGTACCATACCAGACTTTCTTGTCTCACTGTGGTTTAGTTAATTTTTGTTATTTTCTTCAAGTAAGCTTTGTCTGTGTGAATATTCATTTTAATCCAAATGTTTTTCGATGAAGTAACCCAGATATAACGTTAATGTACATACATTGTACAACTTCTGAATCACACAATTTATTTTTTTAAATTATACTGATTGCTTCTCTCCTAGAGCACTCGCCTGAAAAAAACTCATTTTCAAGTAAAAAAATAAAAACAACAAAAATTTCATTCACTCGTCCCATTTTTTTTTTGAACAGTTGTCTGATGAACTGGACATCAAATTGGTGTGGCATAATATCATGAAATTTCTATGTTCTATCATATATACCCCTTCATTAACACTAAATCAGAAAAGCTTTTGAACAATGAATAATAATTCAAAGGTTGTATATTCAGTTAGAAGATGAGATGCATGGATTCTACTATAATAGCATAGTAAATAGAAATCTTTCAACATTTAGATGATGAAAATGATACAAAGTTGTCTCCCTTTTGTTCGCAAGGAAACAAGAAGAAACTTAATTGTTCCTGTTTGACTCACTCTGAATTATTTATCATTTTAACAAAAAGAATTTCTTTTAAATTCTTTTTATAATGTTGTGATAGCCTACATCAAAGATTATGATAAACATTTTTTTTGCATTTTTGCGCCTGTCAAAAGTCAGGAGCCTCTGGCCTTTGTTAGTCTTGTATGTTTTTTTAATTTTAGTTCATATATATGTTTCAGAGTTTAATGTGACGTCCATTTTCACTGAACTAGTACACATTTTTGTTTAGGGGCCAGCTGAAGCCCGACTCGAGGCGTGGGATTTTCTCGCTGTGTTGAAGACCCATTGGTGGCCGTGGGCTGTTTTCTGCTCTTTGGTCGGGTTGTTGTCTCTTTGAAACATTTCCCCATTTCCATTCTCAATTTTAATATCCATTCTTTTATGTAGTCAAAAGACCTCCTCGTTGGCTAAGTGGTCCAATTAGTTCATCTACTGTATCACTAGCCTGTAAACACTTTGGTTGTGAGTTCAAACCCTGCACATGGCATGTGTATTTGATTTCAATCTTAATTGACTAGGAGTGTCAGTTTCTGGCCAAAGGTCATGGTTTTCTACAGGCTCTACAGCTTCCTCTACTAATAAATACTGACTGCCGTGATATATGACATGGCTTAAAAATCACTACTTCTGGGACTAATCTGATTTAATCCATGACCAGATGTTGTCAGAAAACTATTTCTGCATTAAATATAATTAAAAATATTTTTTATATGAAATTACATTTCACCGCCTAAATTGATTTTTGCCTATTCTTGTTGATGTACAGTTCAGGCCCATACAATTTTGGTGAAAAAAAAATTACTAAATATTTTTGTACTTCATTTTCAAGTAATTATTGTTTTCCATATTTTTTGTGAGATATTTTTATCTAAAGAATTTTTTATTCATTGACATTTCTGTACCAACCTAGTTATATCTAAAATTCTAAAAATATAGTAGTAAAATTCTGCCTAATTCATGATGCATTTATTTATTCAATACTGGTTGAATTGTAAATGATAAGTATATCTACATCATGATGTGAATTCACTGAATTTAGTGCATTATCTGCTTAATTTTGTTGAATCTGCAGCTTTTGCACCTCAATGATGAAAGATTAAAATGAATGTTGTTTGAGTTCAATGCTACATATTTCTAAATTAAAATTAAACCAAACATACCATTTTTCACCTCAGGTTGATACATACTTAGAAATAATACCAATTACATTTTGTACAATTTCCCCCAAACATTGAATTTACCTGATCACCAAAGTTCCACACATAATGAATTAATCCAAAATTTGATGAATTAGTTTTACTGAGTACATTTACAATAACCACTGTAGGATGATTTATCTGAGCTCCCCTTGGAATCTGTAAATTAAGGTCTGTGATCTCATCTAAAAAAACAAACATAATTGGTTACTCTAATATAAATCTAACTCCTCCTGGCAAAGTTAACTTTAGACAGTGTTGACTGTTCTCTTTAAGCTCTTTTGATTTTTATTCTCTCAAAGGTTTTCTACTTTTAGTTTCTCAAACTTTTAGACTCCATCGTACCTGATGAAGTTTTTTCCAGAAACAAGTGTTGGTAACACAGAAATCATATTATGCTTGTTTTCCTTGCATGCATACAATATAAATATTTTATTTTTAACAATAGTATTGTAATTTTTCAATTTTTACTTATTTCAACAATATGAGGTAAAAAAATTCAATTTTCTATTTCTAATTAATACATCTTTGATTGAGTTAGGGACATCAACCATAATTCTTACAGAAAATCAGATAAGTATCATATTCAAAAAGTTTGATAGCAACTGGTCATATACAAATTATTTTGATATGTCAATTAAATTTTTATTAATAGGCCAGACATGTTTGAATGTAGTATGGGTAATAAAAGAAGAATGTGTCTGAGGACACAAATGTGCCTGCTCAAGCGTCAAACAAAAATAAAATGCTCCCCTGGGCGCAGCTTGATATGACCGCAGAGGTCAAACCCTGAACAGTTGGGGCAAGTATGGACACAACATTCAAGCTTGATACTGCACTAAATTTGGATTGTGATTAAATATGTGGTCTAAGAACTTAAAAATTTTTAATTTACCTATTCAAACCATATCATTATTATTTGCTTTTATATATAAATCAGAAACAACCAATTTAAAATGGAAAATTTTAAAGAAAAAAAAAGGAAAAAAAATCCCCCCCCCCCAATTTGTTGAACCCCCTTATGATTTATCACCCTCAAACTCAATCCCAGCCTTCCCTTTGTGGTATGGTACCTTGCAGTACAATTTCAGAGAGATCCATACACTTGAACACAAGTGATTGTCTGGAAACTAGAAAAATGCTTGTTTTTTGGCCCCTTTTTTGCCCCAAATTCCTAAACATTTAGGGCAATTACCCCCAACTCAAACCCAGCTTTCCCTTTGTGATATGGAACCTTGTAGTACAATTTCATAAAGATCCATACACTTACACACAAGTTATATTGTCCTGAAACTAGAAAAATGCTTGTTTTTTTACCCTTTTTTGGTCCCTATTTCCTAAAATTTTGAGGCAATTACCCCCAAAATCAATCCCAGCCTTCCCTTTGTGGTATGGTACCTTGCAGTACAATTTCAGAGAGATCCATACACTTGAACACAAGTTATTGTCTGGAAACTAGAAAAATGCTTATTTTTTGCCCCTTTTTGGCCCCTTATTCCTAAACGTTTTAGGCAATTACCCCCAAAATCAATTCCAGCTTTCCCTTTGTGATATGGAACCTTGTAGTACAATTTCAGAAAGATCCATAGACTTACACACAAGTTATTGTCATGAAACTAGAAAAATGCTTGTTTTTTGCCCCTTTTTTGGCCCCTTATTCCTAAAATTTTGAGGCAATTACCCCCAAAATCAATCCAAGCATTCCCTTTGTGATATGGAACCTTATGGTACAATGTCAGAGAGATCCATACACTAACACACAAGTTATGTCTGGAAGTTACAAAAATGCCTATTTTTGGCCCCTAATTCCTTAACTGTTGGTACCATAACCCCCAAAATCAATCCCAACCTTCTTTTTGTAGTATTGAACCTTATGGTAAAATTTCATAGAGATCCATTCATTTAAACTAAAGTTAGAGTGCGAAAACCAATGTGTCTTCGGACAATGACGACGACGCCAACGTCTTACCAATATACGACCGCAAAATTTTTTTGCTGTCGTAAAAAAAATGGGACGAACGGACAGACATAAAGATATTAGGGCGGACAGTCAAGGGTAACACTTAATGCCCAGTCGCCTATGGCGGAGGCATAATAAAACATAGTTTTTAGAAGGAATCACAAATATATTTTCCCCCAAAGTTAGGAATCATTTATTGGCTCTTAACACAACTTTTCATAGATCTTTTGGATTATACGCGTTTGGTCATATACTCATATGGTCTGACTATAAGCGTATGGTTAATTAACACGATGAACATTGAAAAGGTGTTCGATAGATCAAGAGTTTCATAAAATTTGTAAGGGGTTCTGCGGAACCCTATGTCTCACCTACTATTGATTCTAGAAGTGTAAAAGTGTAATGTTGACTTAAAAAGTGAGTCCATTTATCAGTAAAATACAGAATGTTAAAAAAGATTCAAACTTTCTCTTTAGACACTATTTCTTGGTCTTGAAGATTAGCTTCTGTCCAAGTTTCATAACAATCCATGAAGGTTAACAAACTTATGTCAAAAAAAATGTAAACCCAGACTGTCAGTAAATGTTAACTGTAAAAAAGTGCATCTATCAGAAAAATACTGAAAATGAAAATATATTTTCAAAAGTGTGCTTTAGACATTATCTCTTAATCATAAAAGTTTCATAAAATTCTTTGAAGGTTTGACAAAGTATTTGATGTATCTATTTGTTAAATTTAAAAAAAATAAGTCCATTTATCAGTAAAATACAGAAAATGAAATTAAATATTTAAAATTTTTTTTTAATAACTTTAAGATTTAAGAAATATCTAAAAGAACTGTTAAACCAAGAAGTCAATTGCTTAACTCACAGGAACTTTGGTCATTGAACCCTCTTCATTTGATTGGGGACTTTCCTTTTTGAATTTTCAGTTCAATATTTTTGTGATTTTACTTTTTTCTAAATATTTCAAAAAACGCCTGTGGTTTCACTTGCAGATGAAAAAGTCAATATGATAAATGATGAAATACCTATATGGTCTAAATACTAATATGGTCCGGCACATTAATAACCAAACAAGTATAATACTCATATGGGTATACGCATATGGTCATGACCATACACATATGGTCCAAATACTCATATGGTCTGGAATATAGTCATGACCATGTTTTATTGTTGTGGTTGATATATCAATTATAATTCTCAAAGTGATCATTTCCCCTAATTTTGGGATTGATCGCTCTTTCCAAAATTATATAATTGGATTTTTGTCAAAGGTTCTGTTTAGTAAAAAAAGCCATCATGATCTATGTCTATAAGGGTTATCAACCATAATTAATGAGGATAAACACAGACTCACACTATAATATCCATAATTTTTGGCAGCTATTCACCAGTAACAGGATTTCTTAACCGACATTCTTGCTGATTTTATCACTTTGCTTATTTTTTAGAAATGATAGCCATATTCATTGGTGGGTGAAAACATCCAATATAACATTGAAACTAAATATCCTAGGGGTCATTGCGACTGGGTATGGTTAAACAAAAAAAAAATTTTTTTTTCAATTGTTATTGGACAAAGTCAGCCATTTAAAACTGCGTCATCAACATGGTCAAATCCAACCTGTGACCTGGGGGATTGGCAGGTGACCCTGAGATCTGACGTCTCATTGAAAAGGACCTGGGACCATTGAACATGTTAAAAACCTTTTTATTTAATTGCTTTATTTGCTTACAAGAGACAATTCTTTAATGTGACAAAAAGTGGGTACCCTACTGGAGCCCTAAAACTACTGGCTGTAGAAAATTGTAGTCACTCATGTGCTTTTAAGAAAATATGTTATCTTAAATTTCTTTACTGTGACATTTTAAAATTGAAAACTTCTAAAATATTAGATATGGACTTTTTGGTTGATTCCCTAAACTCTCAAAAGACAAATGTCTCACCTTCAACTTTTATAAGGTTTGTACATGTAGCAACACCAACACTATTTTTAGCCACGACTGTTACTTTGTACTTTCCTGCTCTTGTGTATTTATGGGTCTTAGTTTTTGTTTTATCAAATCCCAGATCAATCAGAGGAGGTTTGTTGTCTCCAAAATCCCAGGTATATATAGTACTATGGGTAGATCCCTGAAATATACAAAGAAGCTTTAGAAAATAAGTCATATACTAGATTGTTTTACTATCTTCAAAACTAACAAGGCAAAAACAGATGCACACATATTATATGAAATTTTGAGTTACAATGTGAATATAAAAAGGGAAGGTACGAGTGCAGAAAAATGTTGTACAATGTCTACTGACTTACTGTAGAAACTATGTGATAAAAATTTACTAACTTTCAACTCTGGTTACATGAGAAATATTAAAAACTGATGTAAGAAAAAATCATTTATTTATTTGTTCTATTCCGTAACTCTAAAAATATTTGTTCACATGTTTTAAACCATTTATACATTTTTAACTCTGCAAGAAAAGTCAGGTGATGACCTAAGCTTAATTAAAAACTCTTTCATTATTGATCTAGGATCAGAAATACCCCTCCCTCTGACATCCTTGCCATTCCAAAAATCTTAATTTATTCACTATCCATAAAAGCCATATTTTGGTTTGTAAGTATTGTATTGAACCAAATATGTTAAACTTATAAAAAATTTCAGGCACATATTGCGCTTTATCAAAATGATCAAATCTTTTAAATTATTTTAAAGATCAAGGACCTTAACTCAATGTCAGTTAAAATCAAATCAACAAACGTATTGCAAGTGGCATAATTTGAAAACACCATTTATTATTGCGGTATTTTATTCATCATATATATAAGGGCCATAAATCTGAAGCTGTTCAAAAATATACAAAATATGTTTCATTTAGTGCACAGAAAATCCATGTTTACTTTTTTTTTAAAATGAGGTCTACAATTATAGAATGAAAGAGTATTATTATGAAAGTCAAACTCAAGCCAGTGTATAATTTAAACATTTCAAACATTTGGAAAAGTGTTTTATTTTAATTTTATTGCCTTGAACATCAAAATATCCAAGTCAAAAGATGGTTTTTACTTTGGAATAGTAAACCCCAAATTTGAATAGTCCTTGCAACTGTGTAGACATTTTTACAAAACAACATTTACTTTTCATGGAGACATGTATCACCTTCGTTCTTTATTCTAATTAGTTAATTATTACCTATCATACACTGATTCCTATGGTATGTCCTAAAATATTGTTAAATAAGTATTGTCTGCAAGTAGTAATGGAAAAATTCAAAAAATAATGATGCTCAATGGCAGTGTGCTCAAAGATTCTCTGAAAGTTTTCAACAGTTTACGAGGAGAAGCAGATATAAAATAAGTAGGAGGACAATGAAAATGCAAAACAAAAGGTACTGATACCTATGTATTATCACTACAAACTGTACAACACATAGAAACTATGACAAACATTCTTCATATTCAACTGGCCATATACATGTATTTGAAAAGTGTTCAACTCTAGAGATATGACTGCCACGTTTTTTTCACACTAGTATTATGATTTAAATAAGAACATTCAATGATTACTAGTACTATTTCACAATAGATAAAAGAGAAGAATAGGTTATGTACTGATAGAGATATGTAAAAAGAAGCATAGAAGGTAATATAAAATGGAAGCGTTTTGGCATAATTCACATCTTAACAAAAAGTATTACATATATTTCTCCACATATTTTGGGTTATTTACATTAAGTATATCTATGTGAACGTCATACACACATATGGGTTTCTTCAACTGAAACCATATCCTAAACAGTATTAAATGTGAGCTTTTCCATATAAATAATAAATTTTAGCATATAATTTTGTTTTTCATATAAAAGTACTTTGCATGCATAAGAAGTCTATATAAAGATTCCATGCAATGAAGAAGCTACTGTATGTTTTTGTATAAGTACCTGGATCATAATAAACTGTTAGCTCTGAAAATATTTCATATATAAATACTTATACTTTTAGAAGTAAATTAGGTTTACTCATTTAACAAATATACCTTTCTAAAATTGACGTTCTTTAATTTTAAACATCTGACAAAAAGTATCTCGTCACTTTTTTTTTTAAAAGAGGATCATACAAAAATTCTCTAACTTCATAATTTATATCATCAGCACCCACAATAGCATGCCATAATTTAACATTTATATGGGGAATATGCCAACTTTAAAAGAAATCTGCTATATTCCACTGTATCTATATTTGTGTTACTGATACATTTCTTTTATCCAGGAGGCAGTATGTTTATAATATCAATAGTACAACTTAAGAATAATTATTCATATATAACTCATAAATTTTACTTAATTGGTTGCCTGTAGTATAAAAGTATAGAAATTAAATACTGTAATTATTTGACAATTGTATAGAAAGGTAGGAATACCAGTTACCAGATGCACTTCATATATATCCAAATCAATGGATTTTAAACATCTGACAAAAAATGAAACCGGCGATATGAATTTTTTACTTCTATTCATTTCATACAAGAAACAATTTTATATTACCTTAACTTGTGAAAGTTTGAAAACAATAGATGATTCTGTAGCTACTGTATCATGCTCTATGCGTAGTGACAAACCCTCTGGTTTATATACAGGACAACTGATATTTAACAGTTTGTACTTCCCAGAGTTCTCTATACCACCAACACATTTATTGGATGCTATCTTTCTGTACCTGTAATAAATTTTAATTCCAAAATTTACTGTAAGTTCCGAAATTTTTGCCATGTTTAATATCATTGCTAAAAATTGTATTAATTAGAGCTCAAATTTTAAATTCCTTTGAATTGTGTGAATGCAGTATTTCCTGAAGTCTCATAAATTAATTGTCCATTGATCAAGAGTTGCAATAATAAATAAACACAATAATTTTAGACTCTACAGAACTTAATTACATTAAGTATACTATCATACATTATATTGATAGTACAAGCTAGGTAAAATGGTTCACAAAATATACAGTCATTACTTGCATGAGAATGGTATAACTTGCTACAAACTATACATATATCAACTATTCAAAAAATACACATTAATAAGCCATTCACATAATACTTCCCCAATTATCATTTTTACAGAGATACTTAAGCTTTGATCAAATAAATTAATTAAAAATACATTTGTCTTATTTATTAATACAGAGCAAATTTAAAGCATTATCAAGAGACAAAATGTATCCAATCAGTAATCATACCCCTGACTTCTTATGTAAAAATCTCCCTCAACACAATGATGGTTAATTTTAGAGTCATCAAACCATTCTGCCCTCTGACAAATGTGTCTGTTGATATCTACTGGTTCATAACCATAATCACTGTAACATAAAAGTTAAATAAACATTTATAATAAACCTCAAACAGATATACAATAAACCTCCAACACATGTACAATAAACCTTCAACACATGTATAATAAACCTCCAACACATATACAATAAACCTCCAACACATGTACAATAAACCTCCAACACATGTATCATAAACATCCAACACATGTACAATATACCTCCAACACATGTATAATAAACCTCCAACACATATACAATAAACCTCCAACAGATGTACAATAAATCTCCAACACATGTATAATAAACCTCCAACACATGTATAATAAACCTCCAACACATGTATAATAAACCTCGAAAACATTTATAATAAACATCCAGTAAATGTTTAATAAACCTCCAACACATGTACAATGGTGCCATCTATAAACAAATATTCAATGGCATGATAATTATTATCTATAAAAGAACTGTAAATAAATCCACAGAAACAAAACATCCCAGTATTTTTCAATGGTTTACCAAACAAGAGTGCACAAGCTGAAATGTCTCGCCTGTTTTACTTATCATTCAATTCATGTTGAAAGTCTGTAATATGAAGCTTTTACTACAAGTATCACATAAACTTAACATTATCAATGTTCTATTTAAGTGAGGTCATGATCAGATGAACCATCCAAGACAGATGTGTACACCTTACAATCATTAGTTACACCAAATATAGTGGTCATAGTGGTAAAATTCGTCATTTAAGGGCGATAACTATTATAAGAAGTCATCTGACAGTTTTGATGTAAATGGACAATACTGTAAAAGCAGAAATTTTTGTTGTGGATTAAATTTCGTTTCTTTCGTGGATAAGAATTATCCACGAAATTAAAACCCCAACAGAAATTTAACTGTAGATTTACCAAATCTGAATTCAAAATACGTAAATATTTACACTATTTAATCAGACAAAATCATATTGACATTATATAAATGATGAACATACAATGAAAATAATAGAGTTTATTGATTAGACAAAAATATCAAAACATTTTCTTCCAGTCAGATGATAATCCTAATCTGTTGTTTGTACAGTAATAAATCATGATCAAGAACTGTCAATCAATGTCATTTAACAGTCTAATGTGTCTGTAATGCCGGCAATCCGAAATCCATTTATTACACAATCATTGTCCTTGGAGAAAATATCAAAGGCGTGTAAAAGCCAGTTATCCTGTGCAGGTTTGATTCCACTAATCCGAAGATCGACAGTTACTTTTTCAAAGGTACACCTTTTTTCCTGCTGAGTAGACACTTGATCGGAATACCAATCGACAAATTTAACTGAATTAGTGCTCACTGTCACTATTAAATGCATTATTGATTTTTCCCAACGGCCAAAGTTAAGATTAGTTTTATTGATTATTGTTAATTATAAAGTGACATTTACATAATTTTTTTCTCAACAAAAAAATTCGAAAATTAATCCCCAGGAAATTACTTTTATTAACAAAACCACGAAATTTTAACCCCATGAACATTAATGTTTATACAGTAATTAGAGCTCATCATTCAGAACATTTTTGCCAGGTCAGAATTTCTCTATTTATAGCAGTTTCAAAATAATAGGCAAAACTTACATTTCACCCCTATGTTCTATTTTTAGCCATGTTGGCCATCTTGTTTGGCTGGATAGGTCATCAGACACATTTTTTAAACTAAATACCCCAATGATGATTGTGGCCAAGTTTGGTTAAATTTGGCCCAGTGGTTTCAGAGGAGAAGATTTTGTAAAATTTAACGGACGACGATGCCAACGACGGCGGACAGCAAGTGATGAGAAAAGCTCACTTGACCTTTCGGCCAGGTGAGCTAAAAATGAGATCAAGGATAACGAACATTTGACAGATGGAAACTTGGTAACATAAGGTATCTGTATGCAAGGTATGAAGCATCCAGGTCTTCTACCTTCTAAAATACAAATAGTTTACACAGCCGCTGGATTGTAATCCTTATGTATCGCATACTGCGATTTTTGTTGCTGGCAAGACAGAAACCAAATAAACATAAAAATTATTTGTCTTTGTTACCGTATATCTGTTTTGAATTTTAACTATAAAATAGTTTTATAGATTGATCATTTAATTTTATATTTGTAATTTTTTAAACTATACCACAGACTACATTTAGTATAAACCAACCATTCATAATCATATGCTGTACACAGACAGAGAGACTTTGGTTTGAGTCGTTTAAATTCAGGTCCATTGTAACATGTGGCATTTTGTTTTCTTCTTTGGTACTCTATTGTCTCACCTAAAATACAGTTCCTGTTATTTGCCTGTAAATACATCAACAGTTGCTTTAAGAAATACTTTGCAACAAAATATCTAATTATATTAACACCAATAAATGTTAAAATGTCAAAATACCAATTTACTAATGTTTCCCCTCCTTTTCATATCTATAGGAAAAAGGCACCTCCCACATAATAATTCAACAAAATAAACTGTGTCAGAAAGGTATCATACAAAAAAAAAATCCATTTTGCTGGAAATCGCATATTTTCCTATAGCTTTTTCTAATAATGTGTGCATTTTTACAGCATATTAATTTTTTAACTAATGAAGAAGGAATATAAGATTGATAAAAATAATGCAAAAAAATCCTACAGCATTTAATTGATTAAACATCTCTTGTTTATGCAATTGGTTACCATACCTTATTTACAGGTATCCAAGAAATGTAATCACTATCTTCACATATATTTGTTAAAATAGATGAGAAATTCAGTTTAACCATCTGTCTTCCTGATTTGTCACTTAGTCTCCCAAAAACACTGCAAGTATAAACAAAATCTAATTTCGATAAAACAAAGAGTAGTCCTGCTGTAATAATCTATATTGAATATTTTAAAGGCCAACATTTTGGATAGAAAAATACATTAAACATTAAAGACCATGGAAACCAAAAAGGAGACCTAAACTAGAGGCTCTAAAGAGCCTGTGTCGCTCACCTTGGTCTATGTGCATATTAAACAAAGGACACAGATGGATTCATGACCAAATTGTGTTTTGGTGATGGTGATGTGTTTGTAGATCTTACTTTACTGAACATTCTTGCTCCTTACTATTATCTCTATCTATAATGAACTTGGCCCAGTAGTTACAGTGGAAAATATTTTGTAAAAATTTATGAAAATTGTAAAAAATTGACTATAAAGGGCAATAACTCCTTAAGGGGTCAATTGACAATGTTTGTCATGCTGACTTATTTGTAGATCTTACTTTGCTGTACATTATTGCTGTTTACAGTTTATCTCTATCTATAATAATATTCAAGATAACAACCAAAAGCTGCAAAATTTTCTTTAAATTACCAATTCAGGGGCAGCAACCCAACAACGTGTTGCCTGATTGGTCTGAAAATTTCAGGGCAGATAGATCTTGACCTAATGAACAATTTTATCAATGTCAGATTTGCTCTAAATGCTTTGGTTTCAGAGATATGAGCCAATAAAATGCTCCGCAGGGCGCAGCTTGATACGACCGCAGAGGTCGAACCCTGAAAGTTGGGGCAAGTATGGACACAACATTCAAGCTTGATACAGCTCTGAATTTGGATTGTGATTAAATATTTGACACAGCATAGGTTTCTGACACAGAATGAATGTGGTCTAAGAACTTAAAAATTTTAAATTGGCATTCACCTATTATGGTCCAATATCCAAAATCTAAATACATGGTTAGATTCAGCATATCAAAGAACCCCAAGAATTCAATTTTTGATGAAATCAAACAAAGTTTAATTTTGGACCCTTTGGACCTTAATGTAGACCAATTTGAAAACGGAACCAAAAATTAAGAATCTAAATACACGGTTAGATTTGGCATATCAAAGAACCCCATATATTCAATTTTTGATGAAATCAAACAAAGTTAAATTTTGGACCCTTTGGACCTCAATGTGGACCAATTTAAAAATGGGGCCCAAAATCCAAAAACTTAATACACGGTTAGATTCAGCATATTAAAGAATTCAAGAATAAAACCCCATTGAAATTGATCAAGAAATAAGCAATTTATACGAAGTATCTTCTTTTGCACAATACTGTGCAATTGAATATTTCTTGCTATTGCGCAATACTGTACAATTGACAATTTCTTGCTATTGCGCAATATTGTGCTATTGGATATTTCTTGCTATTGCGCAATACTGTGCAATTGAAGATTTCTTGCTTTTGCGCAATACTGTGCAATTGAAGATTTCTTGCTATTGTGCAATACTGTGCAATTGAAAATTTCTTGCTACCGGTATTGCACAATACTTATTATATAATAATTTACACATCCTGTTTGGTGTGTATCTCCTACCATATCATTATTATTTGCTTTTAAATATTAATCAGAAATAACCAACTTAAAATGGAAAATTTTAAAAGAAAAAAAAAAGAAAAAAAAAAGAAAAAAAAAAAAAAACAAAAAACAAAAAATCCCCCCTCCCAAATTTTTTGAACCCCCTTATGATTCATCACCCCCAAACTCAATACCAGCCTTCCCTTTGTGGTATGGTACCTTGCAGTACAATTTCAGAGAGATCCATACGCTTGAACACAAGTTATTGTCTGGAAACTAGAAAAATGCTTATTTTTGGCCCCTTTTTGGCCCCCAATTCCTAAACATTTCGGGCAATTACCCCCAAACTCAATTCCAGCTTTCCCTTTGTGATATGGAACCTTGTAGTACAATTTCAGAAATATCCAAACACTTACACACTAGTTATTGTCATGAAAATAGAAAAATGCTTGTTTTTTGCCCCTTTTTTGGCCCCTAATTCCTAAAATTTTGAGGCAATTACCCCCAAAATCAATTACAGCCTTCCATTTGTGATATGGAACCTTGTGGTACAATGTCAGAGAGATCCATACACTTACACACAAGTTATTGTCTGGAAGTTACAAAAATGCTTATTTTTGGCCCCTAATTCCTTAACTGTTGGTACCATAACCCCCAAAATCAATCCCAACCTTCCTTTCGTGGTATTGAACCTTATGGTAAAATTTCATGGAGATCCATTCACTTAAACTAAAGTTAGAGTGCGAAAACCAATGTGTCTTTGGATGACGACGACGATGACGACGACGACGCCAACGTCATACCAATATACGACCAAAAAATTTTTAATTTTTGCGGTCGTATAAAAACTGCATTTTTCCCTATGTACTATTTTTTAGCCATGTCGGCCATCTTGGTTCGTGGGCGGGGTCATTGGACACATTTTTTAAAACTAGATACCCTAATGATGATTGTGGACAAGTTTGGTTAAATTTGTCTTGGTAGTTTCAGAGGAGAAGATTTTTGTAAAAGATTACAAAAATTTACGAAAAATGGTTAAAAATTGACTATAAAGGGCAATAACTCCTTAAGGGGTCAACTGACCATTTTGGTCAAGTTGACTTATTTGTAGATCTTACTTTGCTGAACATTATTGCTGTTTACAATTTATCTCTATCTATAATAATATTCAAGATAATAACCAATAAAATGCTCCGCTGGGCACAGCTTGATACGACTGCAGAGGTCGAACCCTGAACAGTTGGGGCAAGTATGGACACAACATTCAAGCTTGATACAGCACTGAATTTGGATTGTGATTAAATATTTGACACAGCATAGGTTTCTGACACAGAATGAATGTGGTCTAAGAACTTTAAAAAATTTTAATTTACCCATTCAAACCATATCATTATTATTTGCTTTTATATATAAATCAGAAATAACCAATTTAAAATGGAAAATTTTAAAGAAAAAAAAAATCCCTCCCCCAAATTTTTTGAACCCCCTTATGATTCATCACCCCCAAACTCAATCCCAGCCTTCCCTTTGTGGTATGGTACCTTGCAGTACAATTTCAGAGAGATCCATACAATTGAACACAAGTTATTGTCTGGAAACTAGAAAAATGCTTGTTTTTTGCCCCTTTTTGGCCCCAAATTCCTAAACGTTTAGGGCAATTACCCCCAAACCCAGCTTTCCCTTTGTGATATGGAACCTTGTAGTACAATTTCATAAAGATCCATACACTTACACACAAGTTATTGTCTGGAAACTAGAAAAATGCTTATTTTTGGCCCCTTATACCTACACGTTTTGGGCAATTACCCCCAAACTCAATTCCAGCTCTCCCTTTGTGATATGGAACCTTGTACTACAATTTCATAAAGATCCATACACTTACACACAAGTTATTGTCATGAAACTAGAAAAATGCTTGTTTTTTGCCCCTTTTTTGGCCCCTAATTCCTAAAATTTTGAGACAATTACCCCCAAAATCAATCCCAGCATTCCCTTTGTGATATGGAACCTTGTGGTACAATGTCAGAGAGATCCATACACTTACACACAAGTTATTGTCTGGAAGTTACAAAAATGCTTATTTTTGGCCCCTTTTTGGCCCCTAATTCCTTAACTGTTGGTACCATAACCCCCAAAATCAATCCCAACCTTTCTTTTGTGGTATTGAACCTTATGGTAAAATTTCATGGAGATCCATTCACTTAAACTAAAGTTAGAGTGCGAAAACCAATGTGTCTTTGGATGACGCCAGACGACGACGACGACGACGACAACGACGCCAACGTCATACCAATATACGACCAAAAAATTTTTAATTTTTGCGGTCGTATAAAAACTGCATTTTTCCCTATGTACTATTTTTTAGCCATGTCGGCCATCTTGGTTCGTGGGCGGGGTCATTGGACACATTTTTTAAAACTAGATACCCTAATGATGATTGTGGACAAGTTTGGTTAAATTTGTCTTGGTAGTTTCAGAGGAGAAGATTTTTGTAAAAGATTACAAAAATTTACGAAAAATGGTTAAAAATTGACTATAAAGGGCAATAACTCCTTAAGGGGTCAACTGACCATTTTGGTCAAGTTGACTTATTTGTAGATCTTACTTTGCTGAACATTATTGCTGTTTACAATTTATCTCTATCTATAATAATATTCAAGATAATAACCAATAAAATGCTCCGCTGGGCACAGCTTGATACGACTGCAGAGGTCGAACCCTGAACAGTTGGGGCAAGTATGGACACAACATTCAAGCTTGATACAGCACTGAATTTGGATTGTGATTAAATATTTGACACAGCATAGGTTTCTGACACAGAATGAATGTGGTCTAAGAACTTTAAAAAATTTTAATTTACCCATTCAAACCATATCATTATTATTTGCTTTTATATATAAATCAGAAATAACCAATTTAAAATGGAAAATTTTAAAGAAAAAAAAAATCCCTCCCCCAAATTTTTTGAACCCCCTTATGATTCATCACCCCCAAACTCAATCCAAGCCTTCCCTTTGTGGTATGGTACCTTGCAGTACAATTTCAGAGAGATCCATACAATTGAACACAAGTTATTGTCTGGAAACTAGAAAAATGCTTGTTTTTTGCCCCTTTTTGGCCCCAAATTCCTAAACGTTTAGGGCAATTACCCCCAAACCCAGCTTTCCCTTTGTGATATGGAACCTTGTAGTACAATTTCATAAAGATCCATACACTTACACACAAGTTATTGTCTGGAAACTAGAAAAATGCTTATTTTTGGCCCCTTATACCTACACGTTTTGGGCAATTACCCCCAAACTCAATTCCAGCTCTCCCTTTGTGATATGGAACCTTGTACTACAATTTCATAAAGATCCATACACTTACACACAAGTTATTGTCATGAAACTAGAAAAATGCTTGTTTTTTGCCCCTTTTTTGGCCCCTAATTCCTAAAATTTTGAGACAATTACCCCCAAAATCAATCCCAGCATTCCCTTTGTGATATGGAACCTTGTGGTACAATGTCAGAGAGATCCATACACTAACACACAAGTTATGTCTGGAAGTTACAAAAATGCTTATTTTTGGCCCCTTTTTGGCCCCTAATTCCTTAACTGTTGGTACCATAACCCCCAAAATCAATCCCAACCTTTCTTTTGTGGTATTGAACCTTATGGTAAAATTTTATAGAGATCCATTCACTTAAACTAAAGTTAGAGTGCGAAAACCAATGTGTCCTCGGACGACAACGCCAACGTCATACCAATATACGACCACAAAATTTTTTTGCGGTCGTATGAAAACGGCAAAATTTCCTTAAAATTACCAATTCAGGGGCAGCAACCCAACAACGGGTTGTCCGATTCAACTGAAAATTTCAGGGCAGATAGATCTTGACCTGATAAACAATTTTACCCTGTTAGATTTGCTCTAAATGCTTTGGTTTCAGAGATATAAGCCAAAATCTACATTTTACCCCTATGTTCTATTTTTAGCCATGGCGGCCATCTTGGTTGGTTGGCCGGGTCATCGGACACATTTTTTAAACTAGATACCCCAATGATGATTGTGGCCAAGTTTGGTCAAATTTGGCCCAGTAGTTTCAGAGGAGAAGATTTTTGTAAAAGTTTACGGACAACGGACGCAGGTTGCAGGACGACGGACGCCAAGTGATGAGAAAAGCTCACTTGGCCTAAAGCTAAAAAGATACTGTGGATTTATTATTATTCGTTTGATACAACTTTTCATTAATTTCGGGTACAGGTGAACAAAGTAATTTAAATGTTCAATTTATTTCGCTTTTATGCAGACTTTGAAAAACCATGAAATGGAATATCCCAGAAAAAAGTAATTTTTCTTCAATCCACTAAAATACATGGCGACAAAAATAAATAAATGCTCAGTAGCCAAAATCATCTAAATAAGTATTCTAGTCATGAGGTAATCAATCAGGAATTAGAAACTGCTTTGGTTCAGCAAGATAAATGTTAATCTGAACAGGGGGAATGCAATAATTTTCACACTTAATTGTTATGTGGAACAAATTTGAATGGGTTAAATAATCAAAATGTAGCGGTTAACATTTACCGGGTGCCTGTTCTTAATGAAATCCCAGAGTAATGACATCATAATATTTAAAAATATCCATGTTTCAATTCAATTTAAGTTACATAAATTCAGGAGAAAATAAAATGAATATCAGTTTTGAATGAAAAAACCTTTAAACCTACCTAACAATAAGAGTAGATATTCCAGGCTCAGTAAGAACACCATCCACATACATCATGTCTGTAGAGAACTGATGTAATTGCCATGTAGCTCCTTCGTCACATGAAAAGCTAAAATGCAAATATCAAAATGGTTTTACATTGCAATTTATATAACTAAGCATACTGAATTAATGCTTCAACAATGAACATTATTTTTTCACTCTTGGCCTTGGGATACCCTCATGGGTAGTCATGGTTGTTAACTCTCCCATACAAGTAGATTCTCACTCCTTACAAAGACTGTCAAGATCTGAAAATGTAATACATTTTTTAGTCATCTGAAAAATGGAAGAACCTTAAATTTTGAACAGACCCATGTCCCCATATAATAAGATGCCAAGAGTTAATTGTAATAAAATTTTGTAAAAAAAATGCAGGTGTAATACTAATACATTCCTATCAAATAATTATGCACTATTAAAGCAATTCATGATGCCAATAAGACAACTCTCCACCAGAGAACAAATGACATAGATAATGGCAACTATAGGTCACTGTATGACCTTTAGCAGTGAGCAAAACCTATACCTCATAGCAAGCTATACAAGGCCCTAACATGACACAATGTAAAACAATTCAAACCAGAAAACTAATATCCTGATATATGTACAAAACAATATGTGAAAAACAAATATGATTTGCAACAACAATCGACAACCACTGAATTGCAAGCTCCTGGGTAGGGACAGGAAAATACAGACTATGGCAGGGTTAAACATGTTTGCAGGAACCGAACCCTCCCGAAACCTGGAACAGAAGAATAACAGCACAACATAAGTAAAACAAGCAAAATCAGTTGAAAAGGTTTTGACTCATCAGTTTGATACAAAGTACAAAAACAACTAACAAAAAGTCTAAAGACACTAAATACCAATCTGTGAGTAATCGCAGTCACTAAAAGCTAGTTCAAAGCCAATACAACTAAAAAAAAAAAACTTGTATCCAAGACAAAATATCAAACATTACACATCCAATGGATTTAGTGTCAAGACGTCATAAACTGTATTGACACAATACTTCATCTGTGATGAAAGAATTTTTGCTTTTTTTTTTTAAATTTAATCTTTAAGCTATAACATAAATTATGAGTTATCTAACTTTGTTCAGTCTTTATCTAAAATTGCTATGGGTTTATATATGATATTTTGTTATAAAATGTAGAATAAGGGATCTGAACACCCATTCTAAATCTATTTTATTTGATATGAATTTGAACAGAAACTAGAGGCTCTCAAGAGCCTGTGTCGCTCACCTGATTCTACTTTCGTTTTGGAAATCATGTAAAAATTGATTAAACTCATAACAGATACCCTAATGAATAATGATTGAGGCCAAATTTGGATTAATATTGGCCCCATATTTAATAAAAAATCTTGAGGGTATGTATTTCCCATAGGGTCTTATGTTAAACTACATCCCCTGCTGGCGGCCATCTTGGATGATGGTTCGGCTACAAAGTAACAACACTTAGTCAGCACCTCATTAGGAACATTCATGCCATGTTTGGTTTCATTCTATTCAGTGGTTCTCTAGAAGAAAACATTTGTAAGTATTGTCAATAGGGTCCTATGTTAAACTAAGTCCCCCACTGGCGGCCATCTTGGATGATGGATCGCCTACAGAGAAACAACACTTGCTCAGCATCTCATAAGGAACATTCATGCCATGTTTAGTTTCATTCCATTCAGTGGTTCTCTAAAAGAAGACATTTGTATGTATTGTCCATAGGGTCCCATGTTAAACTAAGTCCCCCGCTGGGGGCCATCTTCGACGATGGATCGGCTACAAAGTAACAACACTTGTTCAGCACCTTATAAGGAACTTTTATGCCATGTTTGGTTTCATTCCATTCAGTGCTTCTCTAAAAGAAGACATTTGTAAGTATTGTCTATAGGGTCCAATGTTAAACTAAGTCCCCTGCTCGTGGCCATCTTGGAAGATGGATCGGCTTCAAAGTAACAACACTTGGTCAGCACCTCATAAGCAACATTCATGCCATGTTTGGTTTCATTCCATGTAGTGGTTCTCTAAAAGAAGACATTTGTATGTATTGTCCATAGGGTCCTATGTTAAACTAAGTCCCCTACTGGCGGCCATCTTGGATGATGGATCGGCTACAAAGTAACAACACTTGGTCAGCACCTCATAAGGAACATTTATGCCATGTTTGGTTTCATTCCATTCAGTGGTTCTCTAGAAGTTCAAAATGTAAAAAGTTAACGACGACGACGACGGAAGATGACGACGGACAACAAGTGATGAGAAAAGATCACTTGGCCCTTTGGGTCAGGTGAGCTAAAAAGGAATATGGTCTATTTATTCATGACAAAAAATCCCTACACTCATTTATCAAAACCTAAAGCAAAGGAATAGTCAGTGCTTTTATTGCTATTCTTCATCTCAAAGTAACAGTACGGCCATCAACAGGGAGCAAAAGCTCACACCACATTTTAACTTCATATGGTCCCTAACATTGGTTTGAGCCGTTGGTTATATGGCAACATTTTTGCAATGATTACCTACACAGATAATCTTAAAAAATATTACCAGACAGTTAACAAACTGTAATCCACAACATTATAATAACCACACAGTTAAAAATTACCAGTAACTCACTGAACTACATTGGTTACTTTAGTTCTGTTCTGTTGTATTGCAATAATGGCTCCTCCCTGGTCTAATATATTTACTTTATATAATCCATTAAATGGAGTCTGCAAATAACAAGGAAATCATAAGTATTGATTATACAATCATGAAAAGAAATCAAAACTGCAGTAGATGATATCTTCAAGAGTTTATACAGTGTTACACTATATCAGTTCTCTCTTAGCAATCAAATTTTCATTGGGAATTAACTCTGCTTATTTTAGTCACAAGAAAACTGCATAAATATAAAAGAAACAAAGGATCATTAATGAGACAGCAACTCAACAACACAAATAATTGAAAGACAGCTAGAAATTACTTTAATGAACAATTTTTAATTTCATACAATTGACATAGATGTATTTACTCTTTCTAACTGCAAGTTTTTAACATGTATAAGTATTGTTTTCAGTTAATGTCACTTTAGAATAAGATAAGAATAAGATATTAAAGCTTTATTTAGATTTGGTATAGATATAAACTACAAAACATTAGCTCTACAGAGCTTTTAACTGAATATAAGACTAAAGAAATATATATATCGATATAAGAAGATGTGGTATGAGTGCCAATGAGACAACTCTCCATCCAAGTCAAAATTTATAAAAGTAAACAATTATAGGTCAAAGTACAGTCTTCAACATGGAGCCTTAGCTCACACTGAACAGCAAGCTATAAAGGGCCCCAAAAATTACTAGTGTAAAACCATTCAAACAGGAAAACCAACGGTCTAATCTATATAAAAAACGAGAAACGAGAAACACTTATGAACCACATCAACAAACGACAACTACTGAACATCAGATTCCTGACTTAGGACAGGTGCAAACAAATGCAGCGAGTTTAAACATTTTAATGGTACCAAACCTTCACCCTTTTTCCTGAAACAATAGTGTAACATCACAAGATAGAAAGACACAATATAAAATTTCAACTGAATCCCCATTCTTCTGTGGCCTGTTTAGTTTTAATATTAACATACCAGTTTGACAATACAAGATATAATAATGGAACTTGCTGAAATTTAAAAGACATTTAAATGATTAAATCTTCATTGCATATCTCTACAAGAAATATTGTCCTGAACATGCATGAAATATTTGCCACTGGACATTAAAAAACCAACAATCAATCTACAAGAAATAATTACTTTGTTCCAGCTGAATCCTCCGTCTCTACTGATAAACACATGAGCATCTTCTGTTACTTTTTCTCCAATGTATCCATGAGCAATAATCAGTCCTGGTGCTGCATCATCTGACACTATGTCAGGGATACCAAATATCAAATTACTGTACCTCATGTGCAGATGTAAATGGCAATTCTACAAAATATTTAAAAGCAAAATACATTTCTGATAAATCACCAGTAACATACATGCTTTTTAAAATATCCTGTTCTTCTTCTTAGTCTAATGTTCAAAAGATTGATTGAAACATTCACAACTATTACAACTTAACCCAGGGTTTCAGCTAGGATTTTGAGGGCTTTAGTCACTTTTGCGTGAGATGAAAGTTAACCTTATTTTGGGTAACAGCAATGATTCAAGTACATATATTTCTAGCTTTACATATGCCCAAGTCCTTCAAGGAATAGGACCTTTGTAGGCCTTAGGCCTGCTGATGTAGGCAGTCATTGCATGATTTGACTAATGTGATACCTAAATATGAAGATAAGAACAGGGATCCGGAAATCTAGTTCACAATTCCACTTCAGTTATTTTCAGGGGACATTCCTGATCAACAAAAATTGGGTGCCTCTTTTTTTAAACCACAGTATAATTCCCATAAATGAACTTGTAACGACTATTTCACTGTGTAATCATTATCCTTGTAAAGACGTTTAAATCGAAATTTGAAATTCATTTCTTTGAATTTGGAAACAATGATTTGTATCAATCCTTAATGGAACGATTGTTATGGCTGTAAATTGTAAATTAATCGAGAATAGATCACGTTTGGTTTACTTTCTATTTTTAAATGAAATGAAAACGGGAAGTGACAAGTAGATAATAAATTCAGAATGAATCCGGATTCATCTACGGATTGGTTTCGTGGTTAACAAAAGGCAGGAAATTATCATTTTTTTAAATTAAGTTGCTTAGTAATAAATATCTTTGTCTCTCGTTTAATTTGATACTAAATGATTTCGTATTTTACGTTTTAATAAATAAATTTGGTGTATTTACTGTCTTCTGATTGGTTAAAAGTATTACCTTTATTTTCAATGTTGTCAATTTTTATGGCGACACGCCCACTCTGACGTTGTGTATTTATATGCCAACATGTGTGTACGTTGTTATTGTTAATATAAATAATATAAAAAAGCTCTTTGAGCCTTATTTTTGATAGAAATTTATTTATAATGAATGACAATAATTTATTTTGAATTTATTGAACCATAAAATTAATTTTTGACTCTTCACATTTTACATAATCCGCTTCGCGGATTATTCAATGTGAAGACTCAAAAACTAATTTTATGGTTCAATAAATTCAAAATAAATAATAGCCATTCATTAAGTATCTACAAATTATACTTTCACGCATGCGCAGTACACAGTAAAGGAAGCACCTGTTTGACTCGTGAAAATATTTCTGAACGTTTTGAATAAGGAAGCTACCATTTGATTTTTAGGGGGGGGGGTAGGATGAAATTTGAAAAAAGTAGGCAGGACAGGAGTTTTGAGTAAAAAAAAAAGGCAGGATGAGACACTTGCAAAAAAAAAAAGTCAGGATGACAATTTAGGTAAAAAAAAGTCAGGATAAACTCTAAAAAAAAAGGCAGGACCGAATAGAGTGAAAAATAAAAAGGCAGGACAGAGATTACAACTAAAAAAAATGCAGGACAAAAATTTTCATCCTAGCCGCCCCCATAAAAATCAAATGGTAGCTCCCTAAAAATGTTCTTTCTTTTTAATCGAAGTTCTATCTTTTTAAATGAAATTGTCGAAAGTTTTTGATGAAAAGTTATATCAAGTATGACGAAAATACGTTCATATGACGAAACTACGACAAACAAACTGGATTGTTTGAGAAATATTGAAATTGAAATACGAACTGTCCGGGGGGAACAATTTTGTTTTAATGACGAAACTAGGATAAACGAACTGCAAATTGTGGTCGTTTGAGAAATATTGAAATTGAGAAATTTTTACTGGGATAAATAATTATGATGGTCAATTTTGAGGTTTATAAACAATTAACGGATTAGTGACCCATCTGATGGCGATAAGCGGATTAACTGTAATCACAACTTTTAACACCTGTTGTAAACATTAAGTAGCTGAGGGTCATAAACTTGTCAGAAACATGAAGACAGGTAGAATTATTGTATTTTCATGCGAAAAAATTTTACACTTTCCAAATTTAAGTGACGAAATTGATTTGAAATACTTTCGTCATTTCGAAAATCGTTTCGCAAAAACGAAAGTGACGAGCGCTAGCAAAATCACTGCTTAACCTTCCTCTTAATTATATTTTACATGTTAAAACTCCTCATGGAAACTCCTTGTAAAACACCTAGTAAAAGCAATGGTTTATCTAGCATAAAAATAAACTGGTAACTAATACAAAATAGTTATCAATGTCCAGAAGAAATTATTAAAAACACAGGATGATTTTAATTCAAAACTTCAATTAAGTTTGAATGGATTGATGAGTTCTAATTTTTTTACACTTCCTACGCAATAAAGAGTAGATATTTTACATTTATTATTTACCTTGACTGAGGGAGATATAAAGGTTTGTTCACCAAAATAAAAGTCATATTTTCCAAGGGTATCGCCTAAGGAAAATATGACTTTTAGAGGGTGAACAAATCTTCATGTCTCCCTAAGCAAAGGGAAATGAATGTTTTATTCCACTGCCTATACTTTTTATACTTTCTGAACATAAACTATCAATTTACATACAATGTTTCTTATACGCTTGCTTTTAAAACGAAACACGACATAAACATTGATAAACAATACCAATCGAAAGTTAATTATTTATTCTGGTATGACAAGTTTTTCTCTGAATTTATTATTACTATTTTGACTATACTATCGATATTAAAAAAAAAATCCAATATGGTGTGTGTATTAACCGCTCCTATCGTCACACGAGGTAGTCCCTATCATCAGAGGGGAATATGAAGTTTTGTTCAATGTCAGGTGGGATCATCTCAACCAATCAAATGTTGATTTCACTATCAATATTTACATACAGTGGAATAATATATATATAGATGACCATGCAATACTGACATTTAACCAGGAAACAGGCCCTCTTTGAAAGTGTAAGACAACAAAAAAAGGAAAGAATTCAAACAAGAATAGGCGCAATATTGTGATTGAATAATTAAAATACATGTACAGGGATAAAAGTACATTGTTTGATTTAATGCTTTTCAATTATCTTTTTTAATATTTTTTTATATAAATTCTGCAATACTTTCAACATCATCATTCCACTCCCCTAAAAATCAGCCTTCTTTCAAAAAAATAGGTTAAGATAGATCAGTTTAAAAGGTATATATATTACAAGTAATTACACCTAATCAGTTTTAAAAAAAAAACTCTTATCTTTATTTCAATGGACTAAAAATGTAAAATTGAGACCTATTGATTGCTGTTTTTTGTGATCCATTTTCCAGTAATTTATCAAGTCTGATTTATTATCTTTCATTCACATTCTGATAAATAATTTAACCTATGAAACCCAGAAACCTATTAAATGAACCCGCGTCATAAATGTACCATTTGTTTTAGAAACAGGAGAAAATGCTGATATTATCCTTTAATAAGTAATTCGTTCACTTTTAGAAAAGACAAGCTTTTTTATAAGACATTGATACCTTGTCCTACCCCTACCCCCTCCCCAAATCTATAATAAGCAATTCTTATTCAAGAACACGTTATACAAGTATGTAACTTACTAATTTATCTTCACAAGTGAGTTTTAATTCTTCTGGCACTGCAATCAAAGACCAAGATCCTCCTTTATTAAAGGAAATAAAGGTTTTCTCCACAACTTTACCACTGGATAGATTAACATATTGGTTGGCAATGTATGTTCCTTGTACACCCTTCACCTAACAAAAAAAAAATTATATTAAAAACTAGACATCTTAGAACGACATGAATGGCCCTGCTCGCAAAAAAAGCTTGAACCCATTTTTAGGAGTGGAAATTTTCAAAGTCCAAATACCAGTAATTTCAACAAAAATCAGCAGAGCAGGACCAAATGTGAACTTGAGCTGTAACTCATCATTGTAGACTCACATACTAAAAATCAGCTCAATATGTGAAGGTGCTTAGAAAAAAGTCTGTATAACTGTTTGTTGTGGAATGACAGAATGACGACCAGGGTAAAACTATATGGCCCCAACCTAAGTCAGCGGAGTCATAAAACTTATTTTACATATTCAAAATTCAAATTTCATGCTCTGTTTGTCTTAATTACACTGTTAATGGGAACAAAACTGTTGCAGAACAAATTTTTAGTTGTATAAACATAACTTAAATGCTGAAATCTGTGAATAAAACAGTGTTAATTTCAATGTAGTAAATTGACTTACTTCATATAAGTCAACATCTAACCAAGGATCCTCTATAGTACTGACAACATTACGTAGTGTTGGAACATAAAACTGACCATTGGTATCAGATAGATATAAGTTTACTTCCATTTCTTTATGATCAGCAGCTATAAATACTTGGTGTTCACTTGTGTCAACTATATGGAAATCCTGTAATTAATAAATACAAGATTATATCTGGTAATTTAGTTAATCAATTAATTCAATACAGATTAATACATGGTCTTTTCCATACTGGCTTGCTATGGAAAAGACAATGTATTAATCTATTTATCGTAAACTTCCAATGTATGAAAGCACCCACACTTATAATTGCATATCAGCCCCATCATGTAATAAAATGCTCCACTGGGCGCAGCTTGATACAACCGCAGAGGTCGAACCCTGAACAGTTGGGGCAAGTATGGACACAACATTCAAGCTTGGTACAGCACTGAATTTGGATTGTGATTAAATATTTGACACAGCATAGGTTTCTGACCATGCTGACACAGAATGAATGTGGTCTAAGAACTTAAAATTTATTAATTTACCTATTCAAACCATATCATTATTATTTGATTTTATATATAAATCAGAAATAACCAATTTAAAATGGAAAATTTTAAAGAAAAAAAAGGGGGAAAACCCCCCCCCCCACCCCAATTTTTTGAACCCCCTTATGATTCATCACCCACAATCTCAATCCCAGCCTTCCCTTTGTGGTATGGTACCTTGCAGTACAATTTCAGAGAGATCCATACACTTGAACACAATGAGTTGTCTGGAAACTAGAAAAATGCTTGTTTTTTGGCCCCTTTTTGGCCTCAAATTCCTAAACATTTGGGGCAATTACCCCCAAACTCAAACCCAGCTTTCCCTTTGTGAAATAGAACTTTGTAGTACAATTTTATAAAGATCCATATACTTACACACAAGTTATTGTCCGGAAACTAGAAAAATGCCTGTTTTTTACCCCTTTTTGGCCCCTAATTCCTATAATTTTGAGGCAATTAACCCCAACATCAATCCCAGCCTTCCCTTTGTGGTATGGTACCTTGCAGTACAATTTCAGAGAGATCCATACACTTGAACACAAGTTATTGTCTGGAAACTAGAGAAATGCTTATTTTTGGGCCCTTTTTGGTCCCTTATTCCTAAACGTTTTGGGCAATTACCCCCAAACTCAAACCCAGCTTTCCCTTTGTGATATGGAACCTTGTAGTACAATTTCATAAAGATCCATACAATAACACACAAGTTATTGTCATGAAACTAGAAAAATGCTTGTTTTTTGCCCCTTTTTGGCCCCTAATTCTTAAAATTTTGAGGCAATTACCCCCAAAATCAATCCCAGCCTTCCTTTTGTGGTATGGTACCTTGCAGTACAATTTCAGAGAGATCCATACACTTGAACACAAGTTATTCTCTGGAAACTAGAAAAATGCTTGTTTTTTGGCCCCTTTTTGGCCTCAAATTCCTAAACATTTAGGGCAATTACCCCCAAACTCAAACCTAGCTTTCCCTTTGTGAAATAGAACTTTGTAGTACAATTTCATAAAGATCCATACACTTAGACACAAGTTATTGTCTGGAAACTAGAAAAATGCGTTTTTTACCCCTTTTTGGCCCCTAATTCCTATAATTTTGAGGCATTTAACCCCAACATCAATCCCAGCCTTCCCTTTGTGGTATGGTACCTTGCAGTACAATTTCAGAGAGATCCATACACTTGAACACAAGTTATTGTCTGGAAACTAGAAAAATGCTTATTTTTGGGCCCTTTTTGGTCCCTTCTTCCTAAACGTTTTGGGCAATTACCCCCAAACTCAAACCCAGCTTTCCCTTTGTGATATGGAACCTTGTAGTACAATTTCATAAAGATCCATACAATAACACACAAGTTATTGTCATGAAACTAGAAAAATGCTTGTTTTTTGCCCCTTTTTGGCCCCTAATTCTTAAAATTTTGATGCAATTACCCCTAAAATCAATCCCAGCCTTCCTTTTGTGGTATGGTACCTTGCAGTACAATTTCAGAGATATCCATACACTTGAACACAAGTTATTCTCTGGAAACTAGAAAAATGCTAATTTTTGGCCCCTTTTTGGCCCCTTATTCCCAAACGTTTTGGGCAATTACCCCCAAACTCAATTCCAGCTTTCCCTTTGTGATATGGAACCTTGTATTACAATTTCAGAAAGATCCATACACTCACACACAAGTTATTGTCATGAAACTAGAAAAATGCTTGTTTTTTGCCCCTTTTTTGGCCCCTTATTCCTAATATTTGAGACAATTACCCCCAAAATCAATCCCAGCATTCCCTTTGTGATATGGAACCTTGTGGTACAATGTCAGAGAGATCTATGCAGTAACACACAAGTTATGTCTGGAAGTTACAAAAATGCTTATTTTTGGCCCCTTTTTGGCCCCTTATACTTAACTGTTGGTACCGTAACCCCCAAAATCTATCCCAACCTTCCATTTGTGGTATTGAACCTTATGGTAAAATTTCATAGAGATCCATTCACTTAAACTAAAGTTAGAGTGCGAAAACCAATGTGTCCTCGGATGACGACGACGACGCCAACGTCATACCAATATACAACCGCAAAATTTTTTTGCGGTCGTATAAAAACAGGCCAGGGCAATGTGGGTTTATCAGTCAGGGTATTTTGAATATCAATCAAAAGTTAATTTCATTTTAATATAATGAAAAAATGTCATTCTTCCAGTCAGCTATTTTCTTTAGGGCTATTCCATTAAAATGTATGTGGGAGGGTAGGGAGGGACTTTCAAAATATCCCTACAACCAAGAACCATTTTTTAGATAATTTTGCATAATGGTAATAGATGCATACTGAAAAAAGACCCATGACCCACATTCAATAATTAAACTTCCCTTTCTACCCTCCCACATAGATTTTAATGGAATAGCCCTTACCATGAAACCACTTATTCACAAAGAAAAGCAACAATGATTTACTTACTGTTGGGTGTAAATTCATTGGGAAATAGGCTTTTCTGAATGGACCTCTATTGTGTGAAACGAACATATCACTAGATCGTAACGTAGATTTCTGAAAAGAAAAAGATATAAATATCCCTGAATGATACGCATTTTAAAAGGATGGTAAATGTAAGGACTGTTTGTGAGCGGAAAAATACAAGAGGCTGTCAGAGAGACAGCAAACCGGATTTTCCTGCAGAGGTCGAACCCTGAACAGTTGAGCAAGTATGGACACTACATTTAAACTTAAAACAGCTCTGAATTTGGATTGTGATTGAATATTTGACACATCATAGGTTTGTGACACAAAATGAATGTAGTCAAAGAACTGATATATTTGAAATTGGACCTATTATGGTCCAATATCCAAAATCTAAGTACATATTAGAATCAGCATATCAAAGAACCCCAAGAATTCAATTTTTGATGAAATCAGACAAAAGTTTAATCTAGGACCCTTAAGCTTTGGACCTCAATGTGGACCAATTTGATAAAGGAGCCCACAATCCAAAATCTCTCAATACATGGTTAGATTCAGCATTTCAAAGAACCCCATAAATTCAATTTTTGTTGAATCAAACAAAGTTTAATTTTGGACCCGGATTTGGACCAACTTGAAAACTGGGCCTAAAAATCTAATATTTAAATAGAGTTTAGATTCAGCATTTGAAAGAACCCTATATATATATTTAATTTATGTTGAAATGAAACACAGGTTAATTATATCCATGATATTTTCTGTGCAAATGGAAAAAACTCAAACTGGATAAATAGTTCTCTAAAATAAGATATGATGCAATTTTTCAAATTATAATCAATAATATAATAACAACAACCAGTGATGACTAAGTTCTCTAAAATTAGATATGATTTAACACTCAAACATTGTTAGAATCAGCATATCAAAGAACCAAAGAATTCAATATTTGATGAAATTAAACAAAAGTTTAATTTAGGACCCTTCAGACCTCAATATAGTATCATCTTATTAATAACGAAAAGCTCAACCGTTTACAAGTTCTTAAACAGGAGGGGGGTGGGGATGACCCAAGGGGACTCACTTTATATTTCATTTGATTTGTTTTATTGTCCCATACAAGAATATATATGGTTTCGGGGTGGGGATCTTGACCATTTAACAAGTTTTCAAAAAGAAGGGGGGTGGGGGTTACCCCAGGGGACTTTTCCTCAATTTCGTTTGATTTGTTTTATTGTCCCATTCAAGAATATATATGGTTTAGGGATGCGGATCTCGACTGTTTACAAGTACTCAAACAGGAGGGGGTTGGGGTGACCCCAGGGGACTCGCCTTTTACTTCATTTGATTAGTATTATTGTCCCATACAAGAATATATATGGTTTCTGGGTGGGGATCTTGACCATTTACAAGTTTTCAAAAAGAAGGGGGTGGGGGTTACCCCAGGGGACTTCCCCTCAATTTCATTTGATTTGTTTTAATGTCCCATTCAAGAATATATATGGTTCAGGGGTGGGGATCTCAACCGTTTACAAGTTATCAAAGAGAAGGGGGACGGGGTTACCCCCATGGACTTCCCCAATTTTTCATTTGATTTGTTTTATTGACCCATACAAGAATATATATGGTTTAGGGGCGGGGATCTTGACCATTTACAAGTTTTCAAAAAGAAGGGGGGTGGGGGTGACCCCCTGGACTTCCCCTATATTTCATTTGATTAGTGTTATTGTCCCATACAAGAATATATATGGTTTAGGGGTGGGGATCTCAACCGTTTACAAGTTCTCAAACAGGAAAAAGGTGGGGGTGACCCCAGGGGACTCACCTTATATTTCACTTGATTTGTTTTATTGTCCCATACAAGAATATATATGGTTTCAGGGTGGGGATCTTGAGTGTTTTCAAGTTTTCAAAAAGAAGGGGGATGGGGGTGGTCCTGCGGACTCCCCCAATATTTCGTTTGATTTGTTTTATTGTCCCATACAAGAATATATATGGTTTAGGGGTGGGGATCTCGACCGTTTACAAGATAAAAGCACATTCTCAAATTGAAGGGGGGTGGGGGTAAGAATATATATGGTTTAGGGAGACTTAATTATCTACAAAATGTCTAATAATATAGCTTATAATCATCACCACTTAGGAAATAGATAATTTTCAAATAAATCTGTCACTCCAATTTTTATTGTGAGATAAGACAAGTCATAAAATAATAACAAGAGACAAATATTTTAAAATTCCACTTTTGGATATTAAAAATGGATTTGATTTGTTTTATTGTAACATAAAAGAATATATATGGTTTCTGGGTGGGGATCTTGACTGTTTACAAGTTTTCCAAAAAAAAAGGGTGGGGGTTACCCCAGGGGACTTCCCCTAAATTTCAATTGATTTGTTTTATTGTCCCATACAAGAATATATATGGTTTAGGGGTGGGGATCTCAACCGTTTACAAGTTTTCAAAAAGAAGGGGGTGGGGTTTACCACCGTGGACTTCCGTTAAATTTCATTTGATTTGTTTTATTGTCCCATACAAGAATATATATGGTTTCAAAAAGAAGGGGGGTGGGGATTACCCCAGGGGACTTTCCCTCAATTTCATTTGATTTGTTTTATTGTCCCATACAAGAATATATATGGTTTAGGGGTGGGGATCTCAACCGTTTACAAGTTTTCAAAAAGAAGGGGTTGGGATTTACCCCCGTGGACTTCATCTATATTTCATTTGATTTGATATATTGTCCCATACAAGAATATATATGGTTTCTGGGTGGGAATCTTGACCGTTTACAAGCTATCAAAAAGAAGGGGGTGGGGGTTACCCCAATGGACTTCCCCTATATGACATTTGATTTGTTTTATTGTCCCATTCAAGAATATATATGGTTTAGGGGTGAGGGATCTTAACCGTTTACAAGTTCTTAAACAGGAAAAAGGTTGGGGTGACCCCAGGGGACTCGACTTTTATTTCATTTGATTTGTTTTATTGTAATATACAAGAAGAAAAATGGTTTCAGGGTGGGGATCTTGACTGTTTACAAGTTTTCAAAAAGAAGGGGGTGGGGTTTACCCTCGTGGACTTCCCCTAAATTTTATTTGATTTGTTTTAATGTCAAATACAAGAATAAATATGGTTAAGGGGCGGGGATCTCAACCGTTTACAATTTCTCAAACAGAAGGGGGTGGGGGGTTACCACAATGGACTTCCCCTATATTTCATTTGATTTCTTTTATTGTCCCATACAAAAATTTATATGGTTTAGGGGTGAGGATCTCGACCGTTTACAAGTTCTCAAACAGACACACTGGGGGTGACCCCAGGGGACTCACCTTTTATTTCATTTGATTTGTAACATACAAGAATATATATATGGTTTCAGGGTTGGGAGCTTGCACATTTACAAGTTTTAAAAAAAAGGAGGGTAGCTGTGAACCCGAGGACTATCCCAATATTTCATTTGATTTTTTTTATTGTCCCATACAAGAATATATAATGGTTTAGGAGTAGGGATCTCAACCGTTTACAAGATAAAAGCACATTATCAAATTGAAGGGGGTAGGGGTAAGAATATATATGATTGACGGACACTTAATTATCTACAAAATGTCTAATAATGAACAGTAAATTCCAAACTTCATTTATACAGTAATACTAGTAAGTTTCAAACTGTATATATACAGTCCTACAGATCTTATCAGAAAACAGAAAATTTTCAAATAAATCTGTCACTTCAATGATTATCATATGCTAAAATATTTCCAAGATCTAATTAATAATGAAAATAAATCATTATCATATGCTGAAATATTTATAATATCTAATTGAACAGAACTATGGTTGTTTAACATAGTACTCTAACATAATTAATAATGTAATAATCTTCAAAATGTCTAATGATATAGCTTATAATCATTACCACTTAGGAAATAGATAATTTTCAAATAAATCTGTCACTCCAATTTTTATTCTGAGATAAGACAAATCATAACATGACAACAACAGTAAAATATTTTAAAATTCTACTTTTGGATATTAAAAACCGCGATAACTCACAAAGGAGATATACTAAAATCTTGAAAATTAATAGAGGCCTTCATTAAGTCCCAGGAAACAACAAATTTAAATTTGAAAAAAATTTGTTAAAGCGTTTTCATGTTATTGTGCTGACACTGTTTGGCAGCCGCCAAACCACCCAGCCGCCCGCCGTATATCACCATTTTAATAACCGATATTTCCTTCGAAAATCCGGTTAAAAATGATATTTCACATTTAAAGTCAATCATAAGACGTGATAGATTTAATAAAATATTAGTTTCTAGAAATATACATTCAAGTGATGAATACCAGTAATATCTTTTAAAGTAGTTTAAACATACATCAAATGTAAATGTCGATTGTGCAGACATTATACATAGATAATTCTAGTGTCAATGATCAAATCTCATAAATAAACCAGATATATATGAATAGGATAACACTATTAGCTGACCTATGTTATAATATATGACTTTTTATTTCACTTGGTGACAATATTTCTAATGATAAATTTTCTGACACAAAACGTTTTCCTTTAATTGTCAAATGGATTACAAATCAAAATTCATTATTGCCAAAAACCTTATCACCTGAAAACATTGTACTTCTGAATTGTACATTACCTTCCTGTCTAACACATTTTGTAAGCTGTGTTAAGGATGTCTTTTTCATTAATACAAAAGTTGTTTTTTTACTTTATCAGATGAATAGCATGGCAAAGTCTGTATCAATTATATTTTAGACAAACATTTATAAAAAATATCAGACTGGTCTAGGAAATATGTTTGATTAACAAACCATGACATGGTAGATAAAATGTGAAATTTCTAGGGGTGACTGTCATACAAGTGAGAGGTTTAGCTAGCTACAAAACCAGGTTTAATCCACAATTTTCTACATAAGGAAATGTCTGTACCAAGTCAGGAATATATCAGTTGTTTTCCATTCGTTTGATGTGTTTGAGCTTTTGATTTTGCCATTTGATAAAGGACTTTCTGTTTTAAAGTTTCCATGGAGTTCGGAATTTTTGTTATTTTACTTTTTTCTACCATATTGACTTTAACAAGGAACAATGTATAATGACTAAAGAAATCTGTGTTACAATTACAATTTTATTTTTCCCTTCAACCATTTTTATAAGAAATGCATAATGTTACATCCCTTACTCTGCAGGATCTTAAGCGCTTCTCAATACTGCCTAAATAATATCTTTTTAAAAATTACTTCCACTTACCTGTACAAATACATACTCATTTCTGACTATCATTGAGAATGGATCAATTTCACCAATATCTTTGTCTGGAGTAACATCTTGACAATCTGGAGCAACACAAGCCAAATATTCACTTGGTCCCATCACTGCAATGAAAGAATTAAAGCAGTTCTAAAGTTATAAATACCACTTTTTATATGTTGAAAATTGAAATCACATATTTAAGTGCCTCATAATTATTGTAAATGTAGATCAAAGACTCAAATAGTCCTGTTGCACAGAATGTTTCTTAAAACAAAGATTGGTCTATAATGAACACTTAAATGTATGAAAATATATAATCTAAAACATGGGGAAAAAATCTTGAAACAATTCATAATAGGGGGTGCACAACTTCAATCTGTATGCAAACTTTCTGTGAAGTTTCAAGGTTTTTAGTTGTATAAAACAGGAACAGTAAATGGGAACAAATATTAAAGAACAGTTCCATTATAGCAAGTGCACAACTCCTGTATGTGTGGAACTGTTCAGTCAAGTTGAAATTTATTGGAGAAGTTGAAAACACAATTATTGGGAAAGTCTTTTGAAAATTTTAAAACAAATAAGAAAGTTCCCTAATCGAAAAAATATAATTTAATCCTTGACATTTGAACCCCCATACATACCAAACATAAAATGCACACAAAATTTAAAAAAAAATGTTTCTATTACCAACTGTCTGAGATTAATGAGCATAATGACCTGCCCCTATTTTTATTCATACTTTCATATATCAGGTGTCAGTTTTCACTCAAATTGACTTTAAAGCTTTACTTATAAATTTCCACTCACTGTGTAAATCTTGGATTTCCATATGAACAGTTAAGTTGTTTTGGTCTACATTTTCTACAGCCCTGTAACATATTATTTAACAATCATGTATTATTGTAATTAAACCATTTTTTAATAATCACATCGCAAACGCAAAAGCTGAATCTATCTAATATCACGTAATTACCAAAGCACTATCAGATAAATCCTGAAGAGAACACTGCAGGCCTATCTGATTGTAGACAAGATCAAGAGAATTTCAAATTATGTCTTGATAAGTCTGTTACAGTAAATTTTTTTGTACCAGGGTACTTTTAAAATTGTTTATAGGAAGATTGTAAAGCATTTTTTCTGTTACCTAGTGTCAGGCACTGTTTTTGTGCATGTCTAGAATGCAATAGATTTATAAAAAAAATGTATAAGTATCTGGGACTATACACACTGTTTACCATTATGAAATATAATGTGACAGAAAATGAAACAAATAAGCGTTAATTGCCCTCTTTTTTGTATTTTTAACTTGCTCTGTTCAGAAAATACGACAAAAAGTTATAAGTTAAGATTTTTTAACTAAATATCCTACCAATAAAATCTGTGTGATACTGCTTCATGTAACAATGTCCATGTTTTCCCAAAGTCACCACTTGAAAATAACTGAAAAGTTCACAAAAATATTTGCTGTTTAACAGTTCAGGATGGATGGAAAGATGGCTGTTTAACATCAAGCAACAAATTAAATGCATATTCAGGACAAGACCATGTTAATGCAATATGAATATGAACCCTACTTTGTACCAGATCTATACGCTGAATCAGAATTTTTATGCGCTTGTTCCCAAAGTAACAGACTGCAGGAAGATATTTCACACTACCTAAGACACATTATTCTGACTCCTAGCAGACCAGTCTTTGATCTTACTTCTTAGTACTGCATGCTTAGGGAAGAAGCAGCAAATATCTTTTTCCAGTTTTTGGTTTACCCAGGCGAGATTGAACAACATCCTGGACTCAAAGCATGCATGCTACCATGAGACCCTTATAGCAGTTCAGTTCAGGTGACATCACTACAGACATATGACAGATACATATGTAGGGCTCGGAAGCAGCATTGGGGACGGTGAAGAACGATGGTCATGCTGAAGTGCAATTATCTTTGCCGAAGTGTGATTATTCTTATGCTGATATGCAGTGGTCTATATAACATGTGATGACAAGCTTATAAAGAGGTGATTAAGCAGTTATATTTAGAAAATTGCTACATACAACATGAACATTAGACAATAACAGAAACATTAGAAAATTGCTACATACAACATGAACATTAGACAATAACAGAAACATTAGAAAATTGCTACATACAACATGAACATTAGACAATAACAGAAACATTAGAAAATTGCTACATACAACATGAACATTAGACAATAACAGAAACATTAGAAAATTGCTAAATACAACATGAACATTAGACAATAACAGAAACATTAGAAAATTGCTACATACAACATGAACATTAGACAATAACAGAAACATTAGAAAATTGCTACATACAACATGAACATTAGACAATAACAGAAACATATATGATGAAATATTTGCTTCATGCATTTGCTGTACAAATTTATAGCTGTTAACAAACAAAAACAATTCTATAAGTCAGTCAAACACTGAAAACTTACCTCCATACTAATGACACTATACCCAAGAAGCCATTGGTTTTCTGTTGGATGTAGCAGTAATTTATCAGGTTCAAAGGCAACATTAGAAGACGTCCATGTTATTCCTTCATCGTTAGTGTAATGTACTTTCTTGTTCAAAATATCTGTTAAAATTAACTGAAAATAAAATTTCTCACTATAACCTTCAAATCTTCTGTGTTTGATCATCAATAAAGTTTTGCAAATCATGCTTGAATAATATTTTGCTTATAAAGCTAAATATGGCAGCTAAATGTCCTACAATTTTAAAAAAAAGATTTCAATGTAAGGCAAGCATAACTTTAACTTATCAATCATTGAAAATGATTTCCACGAATATTCTCACACTTTTAGTGTGCCCCAAATAATAGGGGGCCATACAGCTAAGGTCACTGTACAGCCTTCAACAATGAGCAAAACCCATACAGTATCGTTAGCTATAAATGACCCTTACATGTGAAAATATGGCCATTTGCAATGTTCCTTTTCATTTGATATTTAGAAATTTGTATGTGATGAACCCAATAAACAAATACAATGTTTTTGATCTGTTTTTATTCCATTTGACAGACTACCGTAACTCACAACTATAATGAATAACTAAATAATATTTCCTGTATATTTCTCATTAATAGTATGTCTTCCAACATTGATTTGCCATTTAATGTCATAAGAAACTAGTCATGGCCTAGATATTTTTTATTTCAAATGAAATCTACAACTAGGTTAATAAATTATAGGACAAAGTTCATGTACAATAATAATATTGTAATGTATTTATAATATGTCATTTAATGCATAGTTTGAGGACAGTAAGTAAAGTTGATTTGATATCATATTACAACATTTGAAAACTGAAACCTTTTTTTGACCTAGGAGAAACATGTATCAACCATAATATCTTCACATTTGTCTTGAGATTTTTTATTTAACAGATATACCGGTAAACAAAACTTTTAATTGCTAGCTTCTGTACACAAAAAGAACTAAAAAAATGCAAAGATGCATCAAAATGTGTGTCCAGGAAATTCCCATCTATAAGTGAGAGCATAATATTTGCAATATATAAACATAAGAAAAAAAATAACAGAAACTTTAAAGCAGAAGAAACCTGCATGTTCCAAACAAACAAAATATTCCATTGAAAGGCCTACCTTTCAAAGATATTTACAAAATAAAAAAAATTGTGTATGAAAAATATTGCTTCAGGAGTGAGAGAATTTTTTTTTAAGGTACAATTTTTCTTTTACCGATATTTGTTTTTATGATTTGTGAGAGAAAGTTGCTTTATACATGAATGAATAAACGTATCTATCTAAAATCTGCTGATGTGTTATAGTTGTACAAATGATAAAAAGAAAGTTTAATACCAGGTAATATTACAATCATATAGGTTCTGTATGAAAATACAAAATGGTAAAAATTAATGTTATGAACTGCAAAAAAGACACTGACAAGCATGTCATAGTAAACAACATATTCCAGTATCATATCTGTACCCTTAATAGAAATTTAACCCTCCAACCAAACACTAAACTAACAAAGACAGGCGCGTAGCAACCCGTACGCAAAAACGCAGTTGCGTACACATCGAAAATTTGACAAAAATAAAAATATGGTAAATCTAGTAGGAATTAAACTAAATTAATAAAATAAATTAAAAATTATTATACAAATATGTTAATAGTAACTTTGTAGCTATATTCCGTTCCGGAAACTAGTCCACTCTTCATTTACGGAATCAGAATCGTGATTAAGTTGCTGATGCAAACAATTAAAATGGCTGAGTCCTCGGGGTGTCAGAACACTATTGTTACGTCTACTATGCCTCCTTAACCTGACATATTTTCTCAAGATTTCAAAATAACTGATGAAGTAAAATATAAAGTTCTAAATAGACCATGGACAACGATTCATTCTTATAATTTTCCTGTGAGTTATGTATAGTCTTACATACGTCGTCATAACAGATTTTTTAAACAGTCCAGTTAAACTTAAGTTTAACGGGGTGGTAAAGGGTAATTTTCGTGCAACGTCTTCGCCGGTTTTTTTATTTGACGATCAATGTGATTTTATTTGTTATTTTACGTTCGGTCGTGCAAGACGGCTGCTTCCTTCAACATGTTCCACCAATTTAATTAAAAGTGCTTATTTTCTATGCTTCGAGATTTGTGGTGCTTGTTTTACTTGCTTGGTTAAATTACAAGACTCTCGTTTTGGAAGTTAATAAAAAAAGAAATCGAAAATAATTTGATGATTTTCCTTGTAGATTTCGGGACTCAAGTTCAAACGTATATGTACTGGCCAGTTAAAGGTTTCTGATTAGGGAACAATTAAAATAGATATGGTGGTGGCACTATATATTTTAATTGTACTTAATACCAAATCAAGCTCAACCCACTACACATTAAAATAAAATGCTCCGCAGGGCGCAGCTTGATACGACCACAGAGGTCGAACCCTGAACAGTTGGGGCAAGTATGGACACAACATTCAATCTTGATACAGCTTTGCATTTGGATTGTGATTAAATATTTGACACAGCATAGGTTTCTTACACAAAATGAATGTGGTCTAAGAACTTAAAAATTTTAAATTGGACATTTACCTTTTATGGTCCAATATCCAAAATCTAAATACATGGTTAGATTCAGCATATCAAAGAACCCCAAGAATTCAATTTTTGATGAAATCAAACAAAGTTTAATTTTGGACCCTTTTGACCTCAATGTGGACAAAGTTGATAACGGGGCCCAAAAATCAAAAATCTAAATACATGGTTAGATTCAGTATATCAAAGAACCCCATATATTCAATTTTTGTTGAAATCAAACAAAGTTTAATTTTGGACCCTGATTTGGACAAACTTGAAAACTGGGCCCATAATCAAAAATCTAAATACATGTATAGATTCAGCATATCAAAGAACCCTAAAAATTCAATTTTTGTTAAAATGAAACTAAGTTTAATTTTGGACCCTTTGGACCTTAATGTAGACCAATTTGAAAACGGAACCAAAAATAAAGAATCTAAATACACGGTTAGATTCGGCATATCAAAGAACCCCAATAATTCATTTTTTTATGAAATCAAACAAAGTTTAATTTTGGACCCTTTGGACCTCAATGTGGACCAATTTAAAAACGGGGCCCAAAATCCAAAAACTAAATACACTGTTAGATTCAGCATATTAAAGAACCCCAAGAATTCAAGAATAAAACCCCATTGAAATTGGTCAAGTAATAAGCAATTTATACGAAGTATCTTCTTTTGCACAATACTGTGCAATTAAATATTTCTTGCTATTGCGCAATACTGTACAATTGACAATTTCTTGCTATTGCGCAATATTGTGCTATTGGATATTTCTAGCTATTGCGCAATACTGTGCAATTGAAGATTTCTTGCTATCGTGCAATACTGTGCAATGGAAAATTTCTTGCTATTGCACAATACTTATTATATAATAATTTACACATCCTGTTTGGTGTGTATCTGCTACCATATCATTATTATTTGCTTTTAAATATAAATCAGAAATAACCAACTTAAAATGGAAAATTTTAAAAGAAAAAAAAAGGAAAAAAAGGAAAAAAAATGAAAAAAAAAAAATCCCCCCCCCCCCCAATTTTTTGAACCCCCTTATGATTCATCACCCCCAAACTCAATCCCAGCCTTCCCTTTGTGGTATGGTACCTTGTAGTACAATTTCAGAAAGATCCATACACTTACACACAAGTTATTGTCATGAAACTAGAAAAATGCTTGTTTTTTGCCCCTTTTTTGGCCCCTAATTCCTAAAATTTTGAGGCAATTACCCCCAAAATCAATCCCAGCATTCCTTTTGTGATATGGAACCTTGTGGTACAATGTCAGAGAGATCCATACACTTACACACAAGTTATGTCTGGAAGATACAAAAATGCTTATTTTTGGCCCCTTTTTGGCCCCTAATTCCTTTACTGTTGGTACCATAACCCCCACAATCAATCCCAACCTTCCTTTTGTGGTATTGAACCATGTGGTAAAATTTCAGAGAGATCCATTCACTTAAACTAAAGTTAGAGTGCGAAAACCAATGTGTCTTTGGACGACGCCAGACGACGACGACGCCATCATCATACCAATATACGACCACAAAAATTTTTTTGCGGCCGTATAAAAACCCAAATTTCTAAGTCAACAGTTTTTCTCTAATCAATATTTTTTTTTCAAATTTAATTATTTTCAAAAGTTGCCTTGTTACTCATGAATATAAGATTTCTGTGTGGTCATCATTTTAAGTCCCAGGAAATCGTGAGAATGCAGGATTTGGCACCATTTACCCCAGACCCCCCACCGTATGACTTCCTTCCCCAGCATTGAGTACACATTATGTTGGCCTAGCTACGCCCCTGAAAGAATACCACAAAGGGAAAGGTATTTTATTCCTTCACTTTTGCAAGGTAAGGGAAATTCATGTTCTTTTATCAATTATGACAAATAAAACTTTCTAAGCATTTGACAATTTAAAAGATGAGATAAATGGAAAATGTGTCTATAGGCCACAGATGACTCACTTGTAAATATGCCTGAATCAATGTACTAATTATTGACATTTTCTTTTCTTTTAAAGTTAATGACATATATTTCTACATGTTGTCATTAGAAATTGCTTGCAAGTTTGAGTGCTCTCATTGTTCAGTAACATTTGGTTGAGCATGTTGAGGCAAACTAAAGTTAGAGAACGGAAACGACAGATTTAGCAATTTTTCAATTTATAAAAGGGCATTACTTATGAACAGTAAAAGTGATGGTCTAGATATTTACGTTCACTTTTACCGTTCATAGGTAATGCAACTTAATTTCAAACTTGATCTGTGTTTTGCGGTAATAAGCATTGTGTATAAGTTTCATAACATTTGGTTTAGGCAAACTAAAGTTAGAAAACTGAAACGAAAAAATTCAGCAATTTTTATGTTTATAGAGAGGCACAATCTTTTTGGCATAGAAAGAATATGGATCGAGGGTAATACAGTGTCCAGTAAATATGTAATGGAGCTTATTTTCAATTACATGCGAAATATTTTCATTTTCTTCATTTCATTTTTATATATATATATAATATATATATATATATATAAACAAGTCTAAATTGA